GATAGTATCAGTATAGTATCAGTATAGTATCAGTAAAAATTTCTCCTGCTTTGGTCCGACAGACGCTCAGGCCAACATAAATCTGCCCCCGTCTTTCATCAACATTGAAGCCTCTCTATTCACTGCCAATAATTCACTGGCTGGCATGCGTTTGATCATCAGATCAAGGGGGCGTTGGGGAACTCCAGTTCGAAACCCGCTCCCGCCGCCACTGCGTCAGGCCGTTGTGTCCTTGGGCAAGACACTTCACCCGAATTTGCTCCTGTGGGTATTGTCCACAGTACATGTATGATACTAATGTGTACTTGTAAAGCGCCTTGATGACTTTGAGGTGTGAAGATGGGCGGTGTGGCGCAGTGGGCTGTGCATTGATCATCAGATCAAGGGGGCGAAACCCGCCGCTGCGTCTGTAAAGCCGTTGTGTCCTTGGGCAAGACACTTCACCTGAATTTGCTCCTGTGGGTATTGTCCACAGTACATGACCGTTACATGTATGTATGTGTGTAATGTGTATCTGTAAAGCGCTTTGGGTCATGGAAAAAGCGCTATAATAAATATAAGGAATTATTATTATTATTATTATGCGTCTGCGGTGATGGAGAGGCGTCATTGTAAACAGAGACATGTACACCTCACGGTGAGAAGGAATCCTATTTATCAGGTAATCTGTCAGGGCCTGTCTCCCTTCAGGAAGTTATGATCACTTGCTGCTGACGCCATAAAAAACACTACAGGACATCATGTCCAAAACTTAATTTCTGCCTTTTTAATTCAGGTTCAATGTCATTACTGGATGCAAACACATTTTCTAAAACAAAAATCCATCTCTCCTTGCCATCGTATTTGTTAGATCAAACCATAATTCAAAAGCAAAGTCATTCTGCATGCAATAGAGAAATGTCTCCATCACTACCGAGGAGACAATGTGGATATATCAAAGAGGCAGCAGACACCTGATGAGAGCAAACTTCAACGGCATGAGAATGAGGTCATAAAATGCATCCATCTTACAGTATGATAAAATAAAAAATATGCACTTTTGTGAATAACTTCGGTTTACTTTCCCAATACACAGATTCTTGAAAATAAAAAAAAGTATTAATTGATTGACAGACACAAATCAAAACTGTTCTGAAAATTGGCAATTTCCAGCTTCTCAAATGTGAGGATTTCTTATTTTTCTTCATCTTACTGTATGCGATAGTAAACTTTGGTTTTTGGGGCTGTATGCTAGAAAAAATAAGCCATATAAAAATGGCATTTTAACAAATAAAAAAAACTATTACCAGCAGCATTTTATGGCATGGCTTACAAACTCAAAATACTACTTAAAAAAGGTGATAGTTATGACTTCATCCCTCATAGCATGAGCAGAGAGCATTGACCTTGACCACTTAGTGGGCATTGCATCAACACAGTGCCAAATGAATTTAGCCCAGGCTGTAAACAGCAGGGTGGGCAAGCGTAGGGGCTGAGAAACTTGGATTAAGGTCATTCACTGCTGAAGTGTATTTTAGCGAGACATATTTGCCTGCTTATTAATAGGTTTCTTTAGTACTTTGGCACCTTCACTGTAAACCATTAACTAATTTAAATATCTGCATTCAATCAGTCGGCCACTAGATGGCAGTATTGTGCTTTTATGATGGCTGATTGAGCAGTGGTTACCACATTTTAACATTTCCACATTTACAGTATTTAACCCCCATGCAACATTACTGCAGTTAGTTGCCAGAAACCACATTTGGCTGTCCAGAAATATCTTGGAAAACTATGATATAAGTTGCTCAAAGTTCAGAAAAAGGTCTGCATGGTTAATGTTAAACTTCCCTTCCAGATTTCCAGTGGCAGCTTCTCCATACCACTGCAGTATGGCACTGATATCCGTTACTTAAAAAGTCGAGGGTTGCCAGATCTGATAAGTATCAGAGTACACTTTTTGCATCAACCTCTTTTCTCCATTAAGAAGAGAAAAATAATCTACAGGAAGATGAAAAGGAAAGATGCCCGCAATCAGGGAGCAGACAGGCGTTCCTGCCCTGACTGGATGCCTTCCATCATCACATACATTTTTCAAGCCTAAATGTACAGACAGAGAGGGTGAAGTGCAACAATGTGCCGTGAAAAAAGCTGCTGCAGTGGGAGACATCGACACACACTGTTATACAGAGATGGAGGTGTAGGTGGAGGCGATACAGAGCCTGGTGCAATCATTTACATAAACAGTGCGAGTGTGGGAAGAAGCATGTAGGTTAATTATGACATAATACAGTGCCTGATATGCAAATAACAGTTTGCGTTACTCATGTTTGCATTGTACATAAGGTTGTCTCATAAGGTTATAAGCCCCTAAAATAGCTTTTGGCAGGTGATGTTACAATTAATCAATCCATTTTATAACCTGTCTGTTCTTATTCCATTTGTTTTTCTTTGCTTCGAAGACTGGTGTCTCTAACTGCATGTTAAATCCAGCTCCAATAGCTCTGAGAGCCAGTTCCTCAGGCATTCGTTTAAAAGGAAGTTGTGGAACATTCATCAACAGCAATCTTACAGCCCATCAGAACAAAAATTATGCTTGCAGAGCCGGTGTCTTTTTTTAAACTCACTACTTAGGCCAACTTTGAAGACTTGCTTTGAAGCCGTTCTTCCCCGAGTGTTTATTCCTGCTGCTTTGTTTCTCACTCTCTGCAAAGCACTTTGTTAACTATGCTTTTTAGACAAGTGCTATATAAAGAAAGTGTATTATTATTCTGAGTCATAGGGGATTGTTTCCCAGGATGCATTAGGCACAAAACAGATGCTGCCAGTCTACAGATGGACAATCAGTCACATTTACACCTATGGGCAGAACAGTATCTTAGATAATCAGAATATACAGTCCTCAAGGCTGTTTCCAGTCTTTATGCTAAGCTAACCCACTAAAGGCCATAGCTTTACATTCAGACAAACATGAGAAAGACATCATCTTTTTATCCAACTCTTGCCAAGAAAGCCAATTAGCGTGTTTCTAAAAAAAAAAAGGGAAAACTATTCCTTTAACTACTTCCTCCTCCAACTGATACCGAAACATCTGTTTTCCTGCCTCCTGAGAAATGGTTTGACGTAGATGTCTGGACTGTAAAAGGAAATCCGTGCAGAGTGCTAAAACATGATCCTAATCTCAATACTATTTATTAGCAACTGTAGCCTCGCACCGTGTGCATGAACAGATGGATGATGCACCACAAATCACTAAATGTTTGCGAGATGCTTTCTTTGCTTACACTGCAGTCCACCCCCGCATACATGAAAATAAACCATCCACCTGATGCTGACAAATCTATGACAGTTCTGCCCTTCTTCCTTCTCAATGGAGTGCCAGGCTCCAGTTCGACACTGACCTCGCTACTCCCACGGCTGAGCGGTCCGGTCTGGCCTGGACCTCCACCCTTCCCAGCCTCCTCCATACTCCCCTGGGCTTCAGGCTGCGACCTCAGGGAACATCTCTCATCATTTCTCTTTCAACCTACTCTCCGTCTGCCCTCTGCCCCTCTCGCTCATAGCAGCGTGAGTAATTCTGTATTTCAGAAGACGTTTTTATACAGCCATTTCTATGACGCTCAGGGCAGCAGTGGATTGATTGCACGGTGACCTTGACCACTCTTGGCTGTTCTTAAGACGCCTACAGTAATGCCAGAAAAATAGGGCATTAAAAACAACAGGTCAGACAGGTGGGAGAGCGAAAACAATATAGAACATCCAGTATGTCAAATATTCTTTAGAAAACAGCAGCTTTGACTGTGGTTGTTGAGGACAGAAATCGTAAAACATAAAAACTAAACATATGACAAATTGATGAATAGCTAAGTTAACCACACAAAGGCTAGCTTCATACTTTCCCGGCATGGTGTTAGTTTAGAGATCTAAATATTACGTCCTCATACTTCTGTGATAAGTGAAAATAATCACAGGCAACTATGATTGAGCACAATGGCGAGGGAAATAAGGCCCATTAAAAACCCGCTGTTATGATAACACAAATGAAAAACACTATTTACATTATTATCCAAACAGAAGAGAAGTTACTGGAAGGTCTGCTATTCCTGGGGCCCTCTTGCAGCAAATGTCTAAAAATGGGATTTGTGCCTGGCATGCTAGGGCCTCACTGACCCCGAAACACATTACTCCTCCACACTCACCACATCCCTGTACTGTCTTTTACTTTAATGGGCTCTTATTTCTGTAGGATGTGGAGTTAAGTCGCATAAAAACGCTCACTCTCAGCCTAATTGAGTTTATCTGTGATGACTCAGAATGAAGGGGAACTCCTCATTTGGGGACAGGACTGTGGGAATGGGTACGAGCTCCCACGGGTGGTAGTAAAAATCAGGCGATTTCTCACCAAGCGGCTCCTGATGATGATAGCAGCTCATTCAGAACTACTCCACAACCTTGAGACGAAGCACACAGCAGGCTGGGAGGTGCTGTTTTTTTTTTGCTCTGATCTCCTCCGGCTTCCCGTGCCAAAGACGATGCGAGCCTCCTCCAAAAAAGGCAGAAACATTTAGGCAGGGGCGCGCATCCTTAACCCGGCCCATCCTGTCGCCTTGCAAGTCTGCTCAACAAATACCAGACACGTCGAGTGTGTACCTCACAGAGTCTGCTTTATAACAGGCCACTGTGTCACTGCTGAGGATGCAGCACAGAGAGAGGCCTTCACTTAACATACTGTACCCAGCAGTGTTTACAGAGGCCCTTCACTGCAATGCACATCTCATCCCTGATGGATGATGATGACTGGGGCAGGGCTCTTATGCCCGTCAGGGATAAACACAAACTCAGACACACACAAGGGTTGCATTCCTGAATGAAGCAACTGTAGCCAGGAAATGTTATTACTCACAATGATATTCTTTCATGGTGCACAAAATAATCAGATACATCTTGAGATTGGGAAGCAACAGAAGGTATGCGGCCGGCAGGTGTCACAAAGTTTTAAAAAAGCTAACTGCCATCCTTACCTGGCGGACAAGGCTGTTGGTGGTGGTGTCGGAGGAGGTGCTGCCATCTGAACCTTTAAATCGACCTTTTCTTCGACCTCCTTTGCTTTGAGACTACAGAGAACCAAAAGGGAAAGAGTGAAAGTGTTAAAGAAGAGATACTGATCATTTATGTATACCTTAATACAATATTTGCATTCACATGTACATGGAAATAGCTTTTTGTTGCCTTTATAGTTTCTCCTGTCTGTAAAATGTCAAATAATAAGTTAATACTCAATAGAGAAGTTGCAACCAGATAATATTTGCTTGAAATATAAAAGAAAAAATGTAGGCTTGTCAACTAACAATAAACGAATGGGCTACTATTTTTGTAATTTTTTCAGCAGCTATGGCCCCAACAAATTGTTTTCGTGGCATCTAGAATCTGACATTTTTTAAATCTTTAATACCAGTAAACCAAATAGCTTTGGGCTGTGGGCAGATAGAAAAAACAAGACATTTTATTAAATCCACAGGCGGGACTATTTGATGGCCATTTTGTAGACGAAGCCGTTTATCAGTAGATAAACATCTGTTAATGCAAACTGCTTCAGGCTCTCAGTGTACACATCAGCATGTGAGTGTTGTTTAAACAAAGGTTTGAAAGAAATGTGAAGCTATATTTTTAGTGTGGACATAGAGCCCGTTGCTAGTTCAATTAGTTAAGTACAGCTTTCAGTGTTTTATTTGAAGTATAACATTATGACAGGGATCATAAAACAATGGTAATGATGTGGGTGGTCTCTTATATGCAAGCTGATATGATGAGGGGCTGGAAATGAAATGCACTCAGCTCAAGGGTTCATAAGGCATGTGTTGCTAGTAGCAACTGAAAAACAGGAATTCATTTTAAATCTGCCTTTTATTCCAGCCTGTTCCCCCGGGACATGTTAATCATGCATATAAAAAGAGACGGTGAAATATTCTGATCTCAAGAGCCAGTCATTTAGAACTGGTTGAGCTGCAAAAAAGGAGCCTGAAGGAACAGGAAGAGCTTTAAAAAAAGAAAAATCCCAATACAGGTTGAATACTGCTCTTTATACTGCAATAGAAAGATAGTGCAAAACTCAATATTTCAAATGTGTTACATGAGGCTTTCTGAAAATCCAGCAGATGTTTTCATTCATTTTCAACATTTACTACCATTTTGAAGTTCTGGTGCTTTTTTGTTTTTTTGCTAGTTTATAAGTTCTAGTACATTTCACATGGAAACATTTTACTCCACTCCATCCTTTACACAATTTGATTTTTAAGTCAATGTTTTGTTCAGTTATTGAAGGGTGATAGTTACTGTACGAATTTGAACCATCCAAGTGTACATTTGTTAAAATAAGCTTTACTACAGCAGCTTTAATATAAAAAACCTGTCAGTACATTGAAACATAGCTAAGCCTGAATGAAACAATATGACACTATGAAATAATACATGTTTGTTTGAAACTTTGTTGTGTCATACAATTATTTATCCTTGTAATGTGTGCATTCGAATAAAATGGTTTCACCTTAAATTTAAAAAGTAGCCTTACAATGACAATATAACAACCTAATATTATAATGAATATGTGTAGGTTAAAGATGACAACAGATATTAGGCTTAAAAGACGAAGAAAAATTCAAAGATAATAGCTTCGACGACAATTTTAAATAAGATAAATTACCGTTCAAAGTTCACGAGGTGACCTCCTCGCGGTTCACACAGCGGTACGTGATCAATGCTTAATTAAGCAGCAACCAATGGGCGCGAGGAAGTGCACAGGTGAGCTAAAGTTGACCTGCTACTTTCGGATGCTAAGCTAACTTCCAACAACTGCAACACGCTTTTAAGTGAAAATGACGGTGCCACTAAAATTAGCATGAACTTACTTGTAACATCGGATGTTCCAGCGAGTCCATGCGGTAGTCCAAAGGTGTTGCTGCTCTTGTTTTGGGAGTGTTGTTGACGACCATTACACCCTTTGAGAAAAGCAAACATTCAACAAAACCTCTCGGCTTGGACAGTGGCCCCAGCTGTGTCCAATATTAAAGATAAACCGCATTTTAAAATCTGAAATCACTAAGTAGAAAAGGAGGCGCAGCAGCAGGCACCGCCAATCTTCAAGTTTGATACAGGAGGGTGAAAGGAGGAGCCTGTGCGGAAGAGCTTTGAAAAGCACTTTTCCTCCAGTTCAGATGATGGTGATAATGATTTGAATTCTCGGATATTATAGCCTCCCTTCAGCATCACTGATCCTCCTCACCAGTGCCCTCCTACACTGGCTGCTCCATGCAACCTCATCCAACGCCAACACCTTCTCACAACACAAAGGATGGCAATGGATACATTCTTCCAAGCTGAAAATATGAATAACATGTACAATGTTAAGCCTTTGTACATTGGAGTCTCAAAAATGAAGAAACATAAAATAATAAAATAGACATATAGCTAGATAAGAGGACAACAAAGCTGAACCATAATACAAACATTGAACTATTTAGCTTAAAATAGGTCATACATGTAGGTAATAGATGAATATGTTTATACATGACTTGCAGTATACATTGTGTGGGATAACTATAAAATCACACGTTTGTACAACCAGCAGACTTTATTTTCCAAAATAATCTAAATTTCAATGATCCAGATCTGACAAAACACAGCATCTCTTCACATTAAAAAAATCTGCAACCAAAACATATTGGACATTTTTGCTTGATTAGGAAAGTTGAATGACTAATAACATAAGTCATTTTGTATTGATTTAAGTTGAATCTTTGCAGAGAACTTTCATGTCTCACCTGTGCAGGTGTTCAGATGGGTCCTTCACACAGGGAAAGGTACTGCAACCTATTCATGCCTTGCTGTCTGTCATTCAGTCTAATGGGACAAACACGTCTTACCTGCTGTGATGCACAGTCCTGTATTCAGTAGTATATCTACTGAAATTAGACTATTCAAACCAAATACTCCAGCTGAAGTAAAACCCCGTCCTCAGAAAACTTTTAACTCTGAAGTTTTGTTATTTATTATCGCCCTCTAGTGGTTTCATGTGCGTTTGCATTTTAAAGGGTCACCACTGATTTCACCCATCAAAGTCATTGTCAGTCAGCCTATGGAAACAGTTGAGTAAAGTCTTCTGTGGCTCTGCAGGGAGCTTTCCAAAGTCAGAAAAGTAAACGCTATGATTACTGTATACTGTAATGTTGACACCTCGGCATGGGCTTAGAGGAAATCTTAGGAAGCTGGCGGCACAAACTGCAGGGAGTAGGAGAGATGTGTGTTTAGCAGGCACATATGGTCTAATGAAATATGCCTCAGAGTTGCATTATGGGACATGTAGGATCCAGTGTTTTTGGGATCGTACTCTTAAAATCAGGATGTCTCAGCCTCTGCTGCGATTTTTACTTTTCAAAAATAATTGTGTATTTGCAACAGCTTCATAGATGAACATGCATAAATCCACACTTTCATGCATTCACACAACCCCACAATTATTGACCTCCATGCCAAATTACAGACTCCTTGGGCTTTGTTGAACCTCCATTTTTAAGATTGCTGCTTCCCATAATTATGTTACATTCAAGTTTAATACTTTGTAAGTCATGATTGCAAATACTGAAACACCACCAGTAACTATATGTTGATCCCAGGTGATTTTGTGTGAAAACAATAACAGGTGCAAAGGAGGATTTTCAGTCAGATCCCTTCTTATCAAAGAGAAAACATTTTTATACTTCCTTTTTCTGTCTCTCTCTCTCAGCGTTTTACAATGTTCTGCTGCCCTGACGACCCCGCAGCTGACCTCTGCTTCTGACAGCTCTCTGATGAGCAAGTGAGGATACTCAGCGCTCACACCAACACGGCCCAGATAAAAAGCCCTTCCTTCCTCCATCCTGGCAGCAGTTGCCTTGAAAAGACGCACACATGCCAAAAAATGCCTCTTTGGTGCATGAAAAGCAGATTTACACACACACACACACACACACAAGTAGGCCTGAAGCTTTCCTGGAAATGCCAATGGGGCTGGCATTTCCAAAATAACAGCAGAAATGCTAGAATAAGAGAAAAAGCAGTGGGCTTCCTGCTATTGTCTGAACATTACTCGGGAAGTCACAATAAATGGTGTCAGCTTTTTCTAAATGATCTCTAACACTGTCAACACAACTGACTTTGCACTTTGATAGCAAGCTCGCTTTGGCAAATCAACATAATGCAAATTGTGCAATGAAACTAATCCCCAACACAAATAAAGAGACAGCTGTTTGTTCAGATTTTACAGGAAATTATGTTGAGAGCACCAGAATTTAATCACAGCGAGCTGATTAAAAGCAGGAAAATCTTCTAGTAAGCCCACTCATTCTACCAATATCACAAATTCAATTCGATGCACAAATAAGTTGATTTACTGTGTTTCATTTATCTCATTGCACTGATGAATCCCTCTCTTCCTCTTCCTCCACCTCCTCCTGCAGGCCCCCCCCCACTCTGGCCGGTGAAGAGCGTGTGCGCTGTGTGGGCCGCATCGCTCCAGAGCTTCTGTCTTGAACAGCGAGCGTTAGTCATCCATGTTGGTGGATGAAGGGAACAAGTAGCTCAGGTGGGTGGAAGTGCCCTCATATCGGATCATAGAGAGGCCTCAAAAACAAAGGAACAATGCCTCTGAGATGAGAAGCTACAAGAGAGCAACATTTCTCTAAGCAGGGCTTCAAAAATAAATGCATTTTACTGCAGCTCATTCCTAACAAAGATAATATAAGAGTTCTCATTTAGCCATAATCTGTAATAATTTAGAGCCTCTAGGATGCAAAATGACACATTCTCTACTTGTATTAGGACACCAAGTGCACATAAATCCCCAATAAGTAGATCTACAATACTTTGTATCTTGCTTGTGTTTAATCAAATGATTTGATTCTCTGAGGCATTGTAGATATTTTACACACAACAGATATGCACAATTGTACCTGAATTTGAGAAATAAGGTCATAATTAAAGTTGTTACTATTAACCGTCTGTGACATACAAAAATAAATCATCAAGTATAAAAGAAAAAAGGAGAGAATTCCTACAGCTAACATTTACCATCCAGTGCTGCGACTAAAATATCCTGTAATACTCACTTGACTTGAATACATTTCCAAAAACACTAGAACGTAAGTTAGCATTTGTTTTGGCTCGACCCTGTGTGAAGAGATATACATGGCGACTCCTGTACACTGCTTTTAGAATTTGAGTTTGTGTTCAAACAGAGCGAGGAGCAGAAGGCAGGCCCACCCCATCAGCAGGCCGAGGTTCTGAAGCAGAAACAGGAGGAACGGTCTGTCTGTCTTCACCCGATTCATCTCTGGAAGCTGGAAGAAAGACAGAAATTAGGTAATATATAATTATTTATTAAGAAATTATTGGTTAGAAAGAGGATTGTTTTTAAAGTAAAGGCTGGCATTACTTTAGATTGTTGTTATTGTCATGAAAAGACCATAACCAATAATGTGGTAGTCCGTATCTTAATAAACTAAATTAGCACAGACCTCTGCTAAGGCCAATGCTGAATTTAAAGGGGCCCTATGATGCACATTTTCAGTTTTACCGATTGAATGCTTGTATTTTCACGATTAATTGCACTTATTGTAGGTCGTATCGGATAAAAGCGTGAACTAAATTAAATGTAATGTAATGAATTTGCATGAGGTTTAAGACCAAATGTGGAATATTGATGTGACAAAGATGTGTCGATTTTTTTTGTTGCTCAGAGGGATTCCAGGTCTTGCGTAACAGGAGCAAAGGAAAGGGATCAGTTCAATCAGGAAATGTGTGCCAACATTTTTTCCAATTGTTCTGACTTGAGTGGTTGTTCATGGGAGTATTTCCAGTCAAGACAAATATTTTTCAGCTCACTCCTACACCACATGAATGCAGCACAAAGGCCCTATTTCACAATCAAAATGAAATATAATGCGTGTCACCAGGTTGTGAATCAGTGCTCTAGTTGAGTTTTCACAGCAGCTGGGGAACATTATAGATCTACACAGTGCAGTGGTGTATCTCACTTATAGGTTCTAAATAGGCTGATGGCACAGAGGAATAAACCTTATCAGGATCAATTCATTGTTGGTTTTGGTCATTTTACGTACTTATGCCACAATAAAGCTCCTTTACCATTTCCACAAGTGACAAATAGAGGAAAATCCCAGCAGTAACAGCGAAGATCCACTGCTGCACTTCAAAATCGGAGGAAACGAACAGTCCGATGTAGAGGCCCATGAAGGCCGTCAGAGCGCTGAGAAAGTTCATGAGCACAGCAGTCTTCACCGAGAGTCCGGAGCTCAGCAACACAGCAAAGTCCCCTTTGGAGACAGAGAGCAGGAAAGATAAGCCACAGTGTTCCCTGGCATCAGCCCTAAAAAAAGAGGGGTTTGCAAAGTGAGTACCCGTGACCTCTCACCCATCTCGTGCGGGATCTCGTGGCACAGGATGGCCACGGTGGTCGCCATGCCGGTCTCAGCTGAAGAAGAGAAGGCTGCCCCGACAACAAGGCCATCTGCAAAGTTATGAAGGCTGTCTCCCACGATTATCATCACGGCCAGCAGAGGAACCCCCTGTCCTGGGAACACAAAAGGGAGTCTGTGTCATTAAAGCTCATCCTCAGACCGTGACAATGGCTCGGTTATGCCAGGCGACTAATTACTAAGTACATCAGATTCGGCTCATTTAGAGAAACTCACTCTGATGTGAAGGGCTCCTTGTGTTAACGTGTTCCGGAGATACTTCTGAACACTCCAAGTCCTCCACCGGCCCCTGCAGAATACAGAGAAGTAATCGTAAAAATTAAATGATGTTACAAATTCGCAAAAACAGGATATATTTATGTAACAAAATGGTTGGAAAATGGGTCCTTTATCATATGAGTGGCTGTGTCTGAAACATTCTAGTTCAAGTGTGTATTGCACACATCATGAAGTGCTTTCTGAATGATTCAATACTTCTCATTCTCCAACATCCTACATACTGTTCCTTCACTGCCTCCCACACCACGCTCCATTGCCGGTTATATAAAAGCAACACAGGACAATTGATTTAAATGAAGTATAGTTGGTTTTTAATTAAAATGTAAACATGGATTTATTCTGTCCTCCATATTTGTTTTTTGATGGATTAGTGGCAGCCATTTCACATCTATTTTATCGGATTTTGTGCTGTGTTGTATACTATGAGTGCTGTTAGGATCGTGATGTAATTGAAGGGTTTTTTCAACAGAGCCCTCTAGCAGAACTCCACTGTTTAGAACAAGTGCTTCAGTGCTGTCTTGATGCTTGGTTGGAGGAGTAGTGTGGGAGTAGAGTATCATCAGGGTGAATGGAAATATATTGACTTAATAACTTCACAGTGGAACAGCACAGTAAACGCAACATTTAACCAATGCTTTAACTCCGCTACCATAACTCATTCTTGTTTTTTAGGAGATAATTTCATGTTATTGTGAACAGTGACAATATATTATCATAGAAAAATTGAATGATCTTGTGTTCAGGAGGAAAAATATACTCATAGGATTACAAAGGAATGTTATTAAAGCAAAACAAATTACTAACTATCACGCAAAAAACTAATAATATTAATATTAAGTTATTTTAAATGTTTTAATAATTTTAATATTATTGCTTTCAACTAACCTAATACAGTGTGAAATCAAAAGATACTCTCCTTTAGCCACTTGCAGTAATAATATTTAGCTGTTTAACTTCAAGGAACTGCTGTGTCATGTTCCCTGCATCTTTTCCAATAACTAAATAACAGGGATGATGACGGGAATCAGGTTCTTCCTGCCAAGTAAAATATAAAAAAACAAAGCAGTTCAGTGTGGTGACTCACCAGCTGTATGGTGGAGATGGATTTGCCCCTCTGGGATTGGCCGTTGTAGTTGAGCTCTAAGGGAAGGTCACTATGACCCTGCGGACAAAAGAAAGTCATGAGACCACCGTTTCACGACAATCAGCTCTGCAAAAGTTCAGACTCGGCACAAACTTGCTTGTTCATGGAAAACTGTAAAACTTCCACCTCTGGATAGATAAAGAAAATCAACATCGCCTTGCCTTTCACCCCCCATGGTTTGAGTATCTGTTTTATTACTAAGATAAAAGCTGCAAAACTTACATGGCCATGAGAAGGAACCAAAAAGGAAAGGATTCTTTCAATGAGGAAAAAGCCATAAATCCCAGCAATAATTCCCAGAATCCTCCACAGATAGTCCTTCCCTTCTGCATAGTGTTCGTCTTCGTGGCTGTGAGTGTCATTATGGAGGCCAAGGATCTCCAGAGGAGACAGAGAGGAAACCATTAGACATTTACTCCTCAGTCAACAGGGTTTATATATACACTCATGGCACTTGACTCTGTGTCCTATACCTGTGGTATGAGGTGCAGGAGTGCGTCTCCTGAGAGGGTCCCCACTGCCAGCCCCACAAACAGCTGCAGGATCAGGGTGTAGGTCTCCTGGCAGGAGTTGAAGAAGATCAGGCAGATACCCAACATGGAGCCCAGCGTGATGAGCAGGACGGCAGCCGTGCTGTAGCCATACTCTGCAGGGAGGAGACCGTTTAGAAACATGTTTCCGTTTCTCATTATTAAGGTTGTACTTTTTTAATGATCATAGCCTCGCCTCTGACTAAGGGACATCCCACAGGCCATAAGACTGTTAAACACCTGAACTTTTGAAAGAACATCCATAACATTCATCTGTTTGCAACTTATATATATCAATATTCCAATTGCTTGTATAGACTATTCTGCAACATTTCTATTATATTCCATTTTATTTGATTTACTTGCACTATTATCTGTTTTATTGTGTTGCAATGTTGGAGGAGCCTGTGACCTAAGAATGTCATTGTCTAGACTGTAGCTATGTACAAATGACAATATAAGCCTTGAACCTTGAACATCATACAATGGTTACATGTTTTATATTTCACTTTTATCTGGATGAACCCACCTGTTATGCACAACAAATAAAATATAGTAAAAATCTTAAGACACAAAAGTAGGATCAGCAAATACATACAATTCAGGAAGAAAGTAAAGACAATTATGAATATATGTTTATGGTTTATATTAAATGTCAAATGTGAGAACTGGATTTCTAATTCTCATGGTTATTTTTTTCATTCCATATATTTTATTAACAAGATTCTTCATATTTAAATTGTTATAATATTTAATTAATGTACAGTTCTTCTTTTGGAATGTGTTTAATAGTTACTGTAGGTACATGAGGGAAAATGCCTTACTCTCGAGAGCAGTGGGAGGAGATCCTTTTCTTGTTTGCTCTGCAGACTCGCAGGCATTGCCTAGCAACTGCTGAATAATGGCCGGGCACATTTGCCTGAAGTGATCCTTGGAAATTGGCAAATGAGGATCCAGAGCAAAAATATCCACCAGCTGATTGGCGGAAAAACATACCTGATTACATTCAAAGGAAGAGAGAATTTTGTGGATGAGTAGGAGGCACTTCAAATCAAGGCTCACACTGACTGCATGCAGATCACAGCTTGTTTTTCTGTACAGGAATCACTCTTTTTAACTAAAATAAAACATGAACCTCACCTGTGCCCAGTCTTTGCTTATTTCTCCAGTTTCATGGTTGCAGCCATCCCCTTTATGTGAGCTCCACCTCTTCCTGTTGTGGGAGTGCGTCCCTGCTTCCTGTCCAACTCCCAGCTGATGCAGCAACTCCTCTAAATCTAAGACAGAAAGCCCTGCGTCATGATACTGTACATTAATCCAAATAAATCAGTGTATGTTTGGGACAAAATACTACTTTATGCAGATGGGATAAATAAAATATAGATCTTAAAGGTCACCTATTATGCAAAATCCACTTGTTCATGTCTTTTATACATAACCATGTGTCCCCTCTGTGTAAAGAGATTCTGAAAGTTTCAGGAAAAAAGATTCACTCACTTTTTGTCCTGATCCATTTATATAAAAACCTGTCTGAAAATGAGCTGATCAGATTTTGGCCACTTTATGATGTCATAACGATTTTTTAGATTGTGTAACCATTAGCCAATCACCAACCAAGGTAACCCCCGCCCACCTTATCACCTGAATCTCCTCCTAGAGCACCATTGTGTTCTTTTTAACCAAATATCTCTCAGAGGGGCGTGGGGAGGGGCTCCTTATTTTCATCTAAAGTAAAAGACACAGAATCAGCACTTTTGAAACAGGGCTGAAACAGAGGGGTTTATGGGAAGCTACAATGCACGATCTGTTCGGTATTTCGAGCCAAACACTTCAGAGACATGTTTTGTATATATCTGAAACCTATAATATATTGATGAAAAACAGTATAATAGGGGACCTTTAAGAAAAGCTCTCAAAACAATGAACAGCATTTTGGGTTGAACCTCCCATTTGGTGCCAGTATGTGTATTCATTAAGAGCATGGAAAAGCATCCGACTCAATCTTTAGAAGCTATCTCAGATACAAAATCTTTCAGGGGGGCTAATTGCTTTTTAATGCATGATGCTTCATTGCTTCTTTTTATGAAAAAGACTGAATAGATTCAGTGGAAGCGACAGGAAGTTCCTTCAAATAAAGAGAAAGACCTTGCACTTCCTGCTCAGCAACAAACAGAAGACAGACACAGTTAGCGAGTAGCTGAGGAACATAGTGGCGCATATAGCAGCTGGTAGAGAGATGGTGGAGAGAGAGCCAAAAGATTGTTGAATGTTGGCCTTAAATTGCTAGGAGGTTTTGTCCATGTAACCGTAATCAGGTAGGAATCTCCGTTAAATGTGTGTATTAAAGCCAACTGTGCTCTTGAACTCACCTATAATCTGCAGGTTACTTGTTCGATTTAGGGATTGAAAGATGTAGTCTGTAAAGAAAGCCGGAGACGTGAGGTTCCAATGTCTGAAACAGTGGCCCTGCAGGACGTGGCTGATGATGGCTGCAGACAGTTTGGGGATAGAAGACCCTTCAGCATCTTCATGTACGCCAACATCTTCAAGGAGGCCAGCGGCATCGATACACTGTGGAACCAAAAAGGGGAAATCAACATCTGGTGGTCGAGACAGAAAATACATCTTAGATTTCAAATCCTTACTTGCAAATCAGATGAGTGATCTTGATGGGATGGGTCATAGTGCTGGTTGATGAGCTGCAGAATACTTTCTGTTTCTCTGGATGATAGGAAGCGATTGTCCTTACCCGGATGTAGATTGGTGAGAGCCAAAAGATAGAATTGAAAGTTCCCAAATGAGGAAGAGGAGGATGAGGAAAGGGAGGCGGCATTTGACACGCACAGGTCTTGCAAGTTTATTATGTAGTACAGCAGGACGGTGGAGATCCGTTGGTATTCTCCCTCAGTGAGGTAAGCCTTCCCATCATCCTCTAGCACAGAGAGCGCTACATCTGGTGTCAGGCACTGCAACAAGAGGGAGAAAGAAGGACATTTAAGGAAGAAATCTTGCAAGTATTGGCTGATAAACGAAGTCCTAGAAGAAAGGTCTGCTTGATAAAAGGCCTATTTTCTCCTTGCATGCGCTTTACTCTATACTTCCTGCAGAATTGGCAGCCAAATTAAACCCACGCACAAAAACAAAAAAGGTGAGGAGAGTGGGCGAAGCACTATGATTTGTAGACCTCTCAGCAAGCAGTGAAAAAAGTTTCTGTCTTCATTTTAAATCTCACTCTCAAGGCTTCACAGACACAAAATCCCTTTGGTCCCGCCTGCACAAACATGTGAAGTACCTCTAACTCCACTCTTTGGACTTTGTTTTGTCGAACTGCTAGAGAAAGCCACTCAGCATGAATGCCTCTCAGAGGTCAAGGACTTAAGCCTCCACATACACTCACATTCCAACCATAACAAACATGTTTCTTGGAATAAGCAGGAAGGGGATAAATACTGAGTAACTGTGGGTGTAAAAGTTAAGACAGGTGAAGGCCTTACCTTGCTGCAGACATCCTGAGAGGAGCCAATCCGCTCAGCACAGTGCACCTCCTGGAGGAGCTTCGTGATCAGGATTCCAATGTGGTTCTTCTGGAGCTGTGGCTCTTCGTCGACACCCAGGGGCAGATCCAAGGCCCTGAGAGTGTCATGCAGGTATTTCTGCCCTCGCACGTCCAGAAGACAAATAAGCAGCAGCAAACCACTACTCCTGAAGTGCATGTTCCTACCAAGGACTCCCAGGACTGGCTTTGAGCTTGAGAAGATGATTGAAACAAAGAAGTGAGGAATTGGAATCAAGAAAAGAAGAGTTTGCAAGAGGCGTTAATAATAGGCCCGCACGATCCGGTGGAGGACAGAAATGTTGGTGGGCACCTTTCAGCTGAACCAGCCCAACAGTGGCGATCGGTCAGCCAAAGCCTGGGCCCCTCAGTCCACAACAAAAGGATTAGTGCAGGCAAGTGAGAGAGCACAGGGGGCATGGAGGGGGAGACGGAAGAGAAAATAATTAGTGGAGGAAAACTATGGAGTAGGGAAAAAGCCGTAAATAACGCATAGAACGCTTTTTAAAATCTGTCAGTTTTCATAGTGGTAATATACATTCTTCAAGAGAAAGACAGGAGCTGTTATAAGTGACTGCACCCCCCCCCCCCTCCTGATTTAAGCACTGGTAACATCCAAATCAATGAGTTTTTATCCTCTGAGATCTCTGAGTCATCAAAGATCAAACAACCAGAGCAAAATATGCCAAGCTTTTTAACGTTCCAACATCCTCCCACACCGTACGCCCTGCAGGTCAAAGCGACCGAGCAGAGGACTGAAGCTACAGTAATACCTGAGATGAGATAGATGGAGAGAAAAATAAAAGCTTACCGGATGAATCGTTCTCCCCTCTGCTCCTCTCAGCGGCTGCAACTAGGTTTGTTTTCCTCCTCCGGTGCGATAAACACTAAGGCTTGTTTGGGGAGAATTCTTGGGCATTGCTGCTGCTGCTAAGTAGGATTATCTGCGACAGAGGGCTGGTTTCCATGGAGAACGCTGCCTCATTTTTAACATTAGGTGAAGGGGGGGACGACGACGACGACAGAGAAATACTTGACAGGACATTTTAAATTGAGCTTGACTTATTCAAAATGTGCAGAAAATACATGTTGCTGTAAGGCTGCTTTCCTTTATAACGGGTCAGATTTAATTTTCTCTCTATTCTTTGTAGTTAATATTAACACATTTTGGGCATTTCGTTTATATTTATTTTGTAATCCCTTTGATCATCAAGGATGTATCCAATTACAATCATGCTGATATTCCAACCAAAACTGTAGCTACAAAAATGAAACGCGGCAAAATACAAGCATGGGAACATTATTCTTAGGGTTTGCAATAAAAAATGATTGACACCGTCAAGTCGTTGACGAAGGGTTCTTGTGTGTAAAATAAAGCAACAATGACACCAATGGCTATACTGTTATATGGCTGTAGTTTTCCAACCAACAATTTCCCACAATTTCCCCTGTTATAACTTGAATAAAAGTGATACTGTTGTAAAAATGTTATAACTTTAATAAATCAATATTTGAGATGTATAGCCATGCTAGCAGCATCACTATAGAGGTGCTAACATGGTTCTGTCAGTTAGTCGTTCAGTCCATCACCCTAATCAAGACTGAAATATGTTAAAAAAACGATTGGATGGATATTTTGTAGAATCCTACTCACTTTCGTGTGATGGATAACATTAAACCTGCTCAACATTAGCATGTTAGCAGGTTTTGGAAAGAAAAGACAGATAATTCAGTTGTATACATTTCATTTATTTTATTCAGCATCTATTTACAATATTGTAAGCCAATGAAGAAAAAGAAAAAGCATCACAGTGGAGAAAAATCTGATAATTGCATTATCACATTTTGAAGTGTTTATCTTAAACTGGCATTTGGTCTACACATGTTCTTGATTATCTTAATTGGTCAAAGTAAAAAATAAACTGTACACATTTCACAAATCACAATCATGTAAAATTTGCTATAGATCTTTCACTTATATTATATCTAATTCACGTAGTGCTGTGCCAGTGCTTGTATGAATTATTATATAATAGTGAGGAATCATTATCATTCATCCAGTCCTCTTTAAAAACACAATCGGGTTTGGTTGAGATTAAGTTCCCAGTTACAGTAATTTTAAACATGAAAGCATAATCATATCATTGTCAAAGTGGGGATTACTACAGATCATGCCTTTCTAAGCTTGTTCATTCTGCTCTATGTTGTCCACCAGACCCTTGGTGTCTACAGGCGCTCGGATTGGATTGTTGAAGTACAGCTTGTTGTCAAAAGTGCTTTCTGTCAAGACTGGGATGTGTATCTGTTTACGGAAGATGAAGAAGGCACTGAGTCCAACTACAGCGATTACAACCAACACCACAGCAATAGTGATGCCAGCGGAACCATGAGAAGCTTCTTTAACCACTTTCGCTGAGGAGGAAAAACACAGGATTATTAACATCGAGACCGACTTTGAAAACCTTATAGGCCTATTCAATATACTGTACATATACGTCAGATAATATGACTTACCAACAAATGGTGGCTTTTCGGTAGGTGTAATAACTGTAAAAAAGAGAATACATTATCAATGTTACAAGTGACTACGTGTCAGATTAAAACTGCTGTACGATAGATGTAATGTACCTTTGGCTGTTTTGCAGACGTATGACCTGTATCTTCTGCAGCTGGTTGTACTCCACTGTCCACTTTCAGAGTCGATGTCCACACATAAATCTGACTTTGGCATCCCTTTTTTCCAGTTGACGTAGTCCACAACACTGTTATCGATCCACATCCACTCACCTGACACAAGGAAGCTTGTTAGCTGTTGAGGCTAGCCAAAGATTACAAACACCCTGGCCCAATATGTCAACTATGAATACAAATGTACTTAATGAAGAATAAGTCTAATCATATTAAGTCTATAGTGATGTTACTTTTTTATCAGTGAATTTTCATTTTATTTCTAAATGTCTAGTGTAGGGTACTTTGCAGTTTGTAATTGACCCTACACTGAGCCAGGCTACTTTGTTGTTAGCTGCTGCTGTCAAGCTGTTGGAGCTAGCATAGCGCCCAGAATCACAACAAATCAAGTCACAGATAATCACAAACCACAAAGTCTTCAAATATAATTAAGGAGCAACAGTGCTTTGCTTCTATGGTAGGTCTTTATTCACTGCTACAATAATTAAAACTCAATAGTGGCATGTGTACACCTTCAGTAGCTAGCGTAACATACTATAGACATGCTTTTGTTAGTTAATGATGAACTGTAGTCTGCTCTGCTGAGGTTAGCACCACAGCTTTTTACGAAGAAATGTAATGTTTTACAAATGTATATCTCGTCCCGACCTCTCCAGGTAATGAGTATTACTATTACTACATCTTATGATGACTAGCTAGGAATCAACGAAACCAGTCGGTTTGCTTCGCTAACACACTGGCCAGTTTGCATTCCAGCAACAGGAACTAGATAAGAGTCAAATTGGACAGTGCTTTACATCTTTAAATGTTTTGGAAAAAGGTGTTGAAAGACCTGCTTACCTTCATGACTCTTGAAGAGGCCGATCCAGAAGGACCTGGCATCGTCGTGCAGGAGCTCCAGGTACTGTTGTATGAACAAAGCCTCCTGGTGGTCCTCAATACTCACCAGAGAAGCACCTAGTGAACATTAGCATACTATAAAGATTTGTTTACACATAAACTTTGTGATTTATCATTGAAAATGCTTCAGAACAAACCCATTTTCAGACATTCAACGGAGGCATGGGCCCAGTTGTCCAACATTGAGTTGAGGAAGGAATAACAATGGCCTCTGAAAGGTATCCAGGATATTTGTTTCTTTGTTTCTGGACAGTTGCCGGGAAGTTGTGGGGGCTCAGTTGGTGCTATATCTAAAAAGGAAATAGGAGATTGCATTGGTTACCAACTGTTCTGTATAGTACTGTATATATTGCAAGATAACTAACAGGGGGATTATCTGACCTGGTGACCTCTTGCAAAGGGAGAAGTACGTGTTGGTACACGGTGCAGTCTTCCATGTTTTGTCCACGTCTATGTACACACACGCAAAGTTGTTTATAGGCTCATTTGTGCCCCATTTGGTATATGACATCATCCAGTTATCGACCCACTTGAACCGCCCATCAGTCTGGAAAAAGAAAAGTTGAATTAGTGAAAATGTATACAGAGCTTAACGGTCTCAGTTTGAAATTCTCTTTGAAATGGTGGTGCCCCTTTACCACATTGCTGTTGAGGCCGATCCACACAGGCTCTTTGAGCTTGGAAACCTGCAGTGTGATGTACGCCTGAGTGACAGGGTTCAGGATACTGGCCAGATCAGCATCGTCGGCTTGGCACTGCCTCCTCGCCTCATCCCATCTCATCTTCTCGCCCACCACTTTGTAGGAGTCATTGCCAAGTTTGTAGAAAGCCTTTGGTAACACAGTTGTGGCTGCGACTGCGATCTGAGAGTCTTTTTACATAAGGGAAAAAAATGATACGTTTAAAATTGATGTTGTCCCCAGTTTGCATATACACAATGCTTGACCATTGGTTTAATTTATTCATGATAATGTGGCTTTGCTAACATTTTACTCACCAATGTTTCTTTTACAGATGAAGCTATGTTTTGCTTGACAGTCTTCCACCTTCCAGGATCCTGTTATTTTGGAGACGCTGCCCACCATAATCACACAGTCAAATGTCTATCAGGCAAAAAAAGGTACATTTGTTAGGCCTTTTAATTTTTGTGAGAGAAGCATAGGACCATCACTTTGTTGAATTAAAATACAGAAACAAAGTTGTTGGGATGATGTTTTGGAGTTGAAATAACCTCGTCCATAAATGCGAATCGTCCTTGAGGCAATGTTGTTGGATGCCCTTTTGCCCAGTTGGTGTATGAAATGCCTTTGCCGTCCGTCCACACAAAGTGCATCTCCCAGTTGACATCATTCATGCCAATCCAGAAGTCCTCATTGTATGTCAGCATCTGTGTTGTCAGGAATGCTATAAATAAAAGACACAATTCATCTCCAACTCCTTCAAACTGTGTTATACATACATCACAACACAATGACACGACAACCACAAGGAACACACTCACCTTGCTCTCTATCGTTGGTGATAGAAACCAGATTTCCTCCCTGGTTAACACAGTGTGTCCTGGCTTCCTGCCAGTCCTTACTGTCACTCCCCACGACTATCTTATAGCACTGTGTAAACAAGATGAATTATCACTATAAGTTAGAACAACAAGTGTCCATTCAAGCTTTGTCAGAGGATGGAAACACATTTAACGGTACATCCGAGAGCCTAAATCACATCCTGAAATTGAGAGGAAATACGTGTAAATATAAAGTATTAATATCTGTGTTTTAAGTAGTTAAATCAAATTACCCTTCCTTGGAAAGCTAGCCACTCAGGTGAACATCCTCCCTTAGGAATAGTGGTTGGGGCCATCGTTGTATTAATAAAGTTACTGCTTCTTTTGCAAATAGAAGGTAGCTCCAAGCCACAGTTAATATCATTCCAGTACCCTATATGTGCAGAATGAATACAAATACATTCATTATTAGGTCAGGTTAGATTATATTTATGAAACAGCTGTATGGATTGTTTGACTCACCCATGCTACTGTATAAAGTCACACAGTTTTCATCATTATTAGCAAAGTTGGGCTCATTCTGTTCCCATGCAGTGTATGATACAGGGGAGCCATCAATCCAGCTGAAATGGAGAGACAAGAAGTGAGTCACTTGAAAACATTGCATGGTGTTGGGGAAATATTTTCCAAGGCCGATAACTTTGACCCAGTTTATCAGGTTAAACTGTCCTGACTGAGCACACGCACCTGTAACCTTGGCTGCTGTGCTCTCAGTGTTTTGTCTCCCTGTTCCTGCCTGTTGGCGTCAGCTGATAGAGGTGTTATGATTCTAGCTTGTTATGCACAATGTTGATTATTCTCTCTGAACTAGATAAATACATGGGTCTGGGGTAGAGTTCTTCAGAATTGACGTGGCAACTCTACCGTGAAGTCAGAACCTCTGACTCTTTGACTTGTTTTGTGAATTCTCCGGCCAAAGCTCCTAAATAAACCATCAGTGTTTGACATCAAAGCTCCAGCTCTCCCCGTGTCTCCTTTTGAGTCTGTGACTCCTCCTGCATTGCTACACAGAAGTTTCCCCCACACATGGGAAGTACCCAATATACCTACACTAGTAATCCAACGAGACGAAATACAGTAGTTTTATTTACCTGAATGATTTGTCCAAATTCACTGACAAGCCAATGTAGAACTGTCCTCCGGTTTTTGCTACCTGTTGGAAGGTAAGAGACTTTATGGTTAAATAAAAAATTGTAAAACACGGTTCTCACTACTTTTGCCACCACATTGGATCGCTGGTTTTATGTTTGTCTTGCCTGTTTCCAAAGGAACTTCCTCTCACTCTCCCCTGTGATGACTGCAAGATCTCCAAAGCCCTTCTTGCAGAAGGCTCGAGCAGCTTCCATGTCGAGATTATCATTGTTGATTAAATACTGTGTGTCATTGCAGATAATCCAGCCATCTTCTGTGATGTTGTATACTGTAAAGGGAACACAACCATTTCATAAGGGATTGATGGGAAGCATGGCTTTCAAATAAATGAGGCCCAGATTTGATGTGAACGTAACAGTTTACAGCCATGCTAGGAGCTAGAGTTTTAGATATTCTACTAAAAGCCACAAATGTCAAGAAAAACAAAGTGAAACGTTTTCAGTAAAAGGCCCGAACTTAAACTTACCTTGTGTCAATTTGACAGGCTCCGGTTTCGGAGTCACACCTGAAAATACAAGAAGCTGGATGAAGATCTTAAGGAGGGCAAAGCTCTACTCAACTACTTTGGACAGAAATTGCATGTCCATAATGAGACGTGTCAGTGTTACCTTTGCGTATCTGGCAGATCCAGTCATTGTAGGACTCGCACTGCCGATCATTCCAGTGCCGTCCGTAGTAAGAGTGGACTTCTGCACAGTGTTCATCATCATTGTGGTTATTTGGTTCCCCAAAGGCCCAGTTCTCAAATTCGAACTAGTACACACATATTGGAAATACACAATAATTGGGTCAGGGTTGGTAAGGTTGAAAAAGGCTTATAATGAGAACAATGAAGTCTACATACAGACGATCCATCACTCCATCCAAAACCTGCATTGGTACCTAGACTGAGGCCGATCCAGGCTCCGTCAGCGGAACGAAACCTTTATGACAACAGAAAAAACACCATTACTGATTAGTTGAATGGTTGACTACCATAATATATATGTTGACATAAAAAGGCTGTTAGGTTAACATACTGAGCGTTGCTCATGTCCTCCATACTGTGTATGCTCATCAGGTCCCCACCAATGGCCTTACAGAAGTCCAGAGCTTCCTGCCAAGTCTTCTTACGGTCCGCTGTTTCTTTGTAAAGCTTTTTATGAGTGAAAGAGAAAATACCTTGAGTTTTATGAACTTAAAATTGCACCAGTTTCCCAGATTACTTCAGTTTGTACTCCTACTTTGTAGCAGAAATTCCTCTTGCCCACGGGGGTCCAGCCAGCATCACAGCTGAGGGCGGGGGTGGTAGGTGCGACTGTTGTCACAGGTACCCCTTCTGCTAGTTTCTTACAGACATACTTCTCCTTGTTGCTGCAGCTGACAACATCCCATAATCCAGCAAAAATGCCAGTTGTCATTGCGACGCATCCTTGGTGTCTGTCTTTTATTAAACACACCAAAGAGAATGGGACAAATATAGATACACTTAGCTCAAACATGTAATGATCACAATCAATAACAATCATTAGGAAGGTGTTTTAGAGTAGAGAAATGAAGGTGTGTATAAACAAAGTTAACAAGAAATAAATATTCAACAATAAATGTCTGCAGCTAATTCTGAGTTAATGCTAACATCAGCTTGCTAACATAGTGCCACATAACTCTTCGAAATCCAATCAAAATACATTTTAATCATAAACAGTACATACATCAATCGATTTTGAAATGGTTAGAAGTGTGCTGTACCTGGCATGCCCACATTGAAATGAGTAAATGTGACTTTTCTTTTGGTGGTCAACGAGAAAGTGTTAATGTTGGCTGTGTTCGATAAACCTGTCCAGAAATACTTCTCTGGTCTCAAACCCACCAGACTGACCAAGAAGGCATTCTCATATCTGCATGAAGACATAGAAAAGGCAGAAAGGTGAGATTAATGATATTTATATGGGTTTAAAAATGAAGCCTGATATTTATCGTTGGAAACTTTACATTAACATAAACATAGAAATGTACCTATCAGTCACATCCACCATGTGAGCGCCAGTCTCTGAGCATGCCCGCTGTGCCTCATCAAAGGTTTTTGACTCAGATCCAATGTTGTAACAATAAGAACCAAACCTGATTGAGCCCTTGGAGGTGATACAAAAAAACACATTAAGATAAATCTGATAAATACAGTGTTGTTTAATTAAACTATTTAAAAGGAAAAGACAGCACTCACAAGTTTGCATCCTGGGTTGGCTTCCTCTTGGGCGCCTTCAGCTGGTTTAGTCGAGGCCTTACTCTTACAGATGTATCCATACGCCTTCTCACATGAGTGGTCAGCCCACCTCCCGTCCTGTATTAACCACATGTAGTGTTTAAGAACAGCACTTTTCCTATTATCATTGCAATGATCACGCTTTGCATGCTTAGAATACCTTTCCTCTGATGAGGACACAGTCTTCCTGTAGGTTGGTGGCATGAGACGGCTCCCCAGGCTGCCACTGGGTGAAGGTAACGTGGGAGTGATCGGACCATTCAAACAGCAGCTGGTTCTTCTGATCATTGAGGCCAATCCAAAGCTCATCTGTCGGCACTAAGGGATATACATGGAGATATGAATGTGTGGATAGAGTACAGTTTCTTGCATTTGATTGTTATAATCGTAATAGTCAGATATTTGGAGAAATACGCTTATTTGTTTTCTTGCACACAGTTAGATAATAGGGACAGCAATGAGCTGCTGACTAAGGCCATAGCTACAGTGCTGATGCTCTCTCCTAATTGTTGGCAGGAAAGTGAATAAAACGATTAACCAATATGTACAAACAAATACTTTAAAAAGGTAAAAGTTCACTATGATCAATCACATCAATCATTTGTGCATATAGGATTGGTGTTAAAACCAAGAAATCACTGGAAAAATGCATTCTTTGTACACTTACAGTATCCAGATTGAGATATTACGAAGCTCTGCTCTTCTATATTGCTTATGCTGGCCAGATCTCCCCCCTCTTTGTGACACGCATCCAAAGCCTCCCTCCACATCTTCTTAGTCCTCTGCATGTAGTAACAGTTTCCTGCATATGGCACCCAGTGACTGGGGCAGAAGCTGGGCTGGTTTTTGACTGTAGGTAGACATACATAGAACGTGAGAACAAATTAGGTTGCAACATGAAGACTCCACAAGTCAGATTTTGATTAATTGGAATTAGGCTATTGATTTACCTGGTGGTGGAGGCAGGCTGGTAGAGTTTCCCTTGCGACAAATATAACCAAGTTTCTTGGTGCAGGCGCTGCTCTCCCATTTTGACGCTTTTGCAACATTTAGGGTTGCACAGGTGAGCCCGGGCTCTGATGAAGGGTGACCTATTGGAAACATCAATCCATGTATTATATATTTTACATGTGAAATGTATTTGATAATTAATGGGAGCATTTATCCAGCTCCTCATATGATTATATTCTGCCTGACCTGGAGCCCAGTTTAAATATCTGAAGGGGTTTCCGTTGCTCCACTGCCATCCACTCTCATAGTCCAAGCTGTTCAGTCCAATCCACAGAGATGTTCCCAAATTATTTGTCAACCCTGCATCAAAACATACATTCAAAGGAAAAAAGTTAGAAATTGTAACATTGAGTAGTATGTGTAATTGACAAAAGACTGACTTTGTACCTGAAATGTACGACTGCTCATGCAGCTCTACAATGCTGAGGAGGTCGGCTCCCTGCTGCTGGCAGCTCTTCCTGGCCTGACTCCAGGTCAGCACTGACTGTGCGTTCCTCTGATACTGAACCCCTGTGACCGGGTCAGTGTCCCAACCTGAGGATGCTGCATTATAATATAGACACAAATGATCAAACAACAGGAAAGGATTTAATCCATGTAGTGTAATGCCTGTTGAACTGAATGGATTTTAGATAGAACAAGCATCTCACAACTGAAAAAAGATCAATGAGAAACATCCTCCCTCTTCTCGACTATGGCTGTGCTGTGCTTTATACAAACAATAGTTAAAGGGAGCTTTGTCTCTTTTTAATGTCCCTTTCCTGTCCTAGATTATGAGCAGCCTTTAGGATTGGCCTGTGAGAAGAGGAAAGTGAGGACAGTGCTGTGTTGACAACTCATGACAGGAAGTGGTTGTGTTGTTCTGCTGGGTGGGGGGGGGTCAGAAACCAGACCTGTCAGCATTAACCTCTTCCATGATAACACTTTGAAGACAAACAAGGTGATTCTGCATCGTTTCATAACCAGCTTTCTTAATGAAAATAATTTGACAAGGTGTTTTCAGTACCGTTTACTATTATAGATGTTTCTTACCTTGACTGGGACAAAAGCCCCACTTCTTCGCCTTATCGTAATCTCTCTCTGTTGCACACCACAGCTGTCCGTCTGAGCGACCGTCCTTTGTGCACTCAGCGTACCACTTCTCCTGAAAACTAAATGGGAACTGACAGGGGCCTCCGAAGGCATTGCCCCCTAATGTGAAAACCTCTGAGGAGACACAGATCATGAAGAAAAGATGATCAAACATGTGTTTAGAACATTTAAAAATGCAAAGCCTGTAAATCATTCCATAATTGAATATGTGGACAGGATTGACATTTTGGACAAGGACGAGGTTTGGCGTTATGCTTATATAAAGGATAGGGTACAAATGATGCATTTCCTATGATTAACATAATTAAGTTTCACTAGTTGGCTGCCCATCTACCCCCGCTGCAGATAGATAGATAGATAGATAGATACTAGTTTAATCACCCTCAGTCGGTCTGCAGATTTGCAGGATCTCGTGGCGGGCCCCAGCGACCCACTGTACCTGGATGCATTAAGACTCCCCTTGAATGAACCATGCTTGAAATCTGCAACATGTTCCCGATCATGGGATGCCAGACAATAAGATAGCAGGAGTCTCAAGATATTATGTAATTAAATCCTTTTTAAATGGGTGTCTAGTCTCATGCACTCACTCATCAGTTGCAACACTACCATTTTTTTTGCATTTTAAGGATTTATTATCTTAAAGTACATAGTGTATATTTTTTTTTAATAGCTATTTCCACACCAAGAAAAATAGAGCATCAGGACCACAATCTGCCCTTTTTGTAAACGTAGGCCTGTTTTTTGCATTAAATTCTTGATAATAATTTGTTAAGACAGATGTAAAAAAAAAATCAAAAATTAGTCATTAGATACTCACAATTACTTATAATTTATTTAAGATCTAAATTTGATCTACAGTTATAAATTACTACTTGTCTACATGGTAGAAATGACCAATAGCTGGCCAAGTAAAATATTTTTAACCACCCTTTGAACCTTTCTAAAGATTAGATAATACACTATTTAGGGTTTTTAAGCTCAATCGTGTCCCTACAATTCCTACCTTGAAACCCCTTTGAACACAGGTCACCCTGGGTGCCGTATATTCTCCAGCGGCTCCAGAGCCCCGAGCCTTTGTAGATCATTATGCTCCTCTCATTGCGGTTGCCCCAGTTTAAGTGCAGGTCTTTGTTTTGTAGGCCAAACAGGGTCTCGTTCTTGCACTGCCAGTGTTGTAGCTTATTGCTCTCATCACATTCAAAGAGGCGCACCTTCACCCAGTCTTTAATCTCGGTGGCCCCCATACAGAGCTTTTGGGACAGACTGAGGACGCGCGATTCGGAGGCCCAACGAAACTGCTGCTCCTTGGCATGAGGATCACATCTGGCCACCGTTAGGGAGGTGGCACTCTCCACCTTCATGCACATGCTGTGGTTCTCATTGAAGATCAGGAAGGTGCCACTGTCTGGAGCACAAGAGAACCACATCAGCTAATTCATTTACAATCAGATTACTCTCATTAAGTTTTCTTTGGTAAGTTAAGTTGAATAGACAGAAACATTTGTCATCAATACGTACCTATGTCTGCAGTGATGCAGAGGACTTGCAGGAGACAGAGGACCACAGCAACATTCAAACAGGGTAACATTATCCTTAAAGTTTTCCAGTCATGAGAGAAGGGGTCCGGTGTGTGCTAAGGTGTGCGACATGGAGCAACAATGACACAGAGGCATGGTGTTACCCCCCTTAATCACACTGATGGGTATCCTGTCACATGGCTAGCCAAGATTGTTCAAACGACAGCAATTTCCACGAACTTCCACAGAATTTTTTTTTGGCAGAGGAAGGCAGGAAGTGGGAAGCGAGCAATCTCTTGAACAAGAAACAGAAAGTCACCAGTGATTGCTTCAAGATAACCAAGTGTCAGGATGGGACAATAATTCTATTTTTATTAAATCAAAGGCAGAAGAGGAACCAGATGATTGACTTTGGGAATTAATTGATCCAAGCAGGCTTTTCTAAGGTTCAATATATTGCCTTTAACTGAGATTTTTGATCTTCTATAAATAGCTGTAATAAATATGTGCAAGAGCGCAGGTGACTTTCAGCGAGATTGGCTTTGAAGAAGTTTCACATCTGATCAGGAATGTGCCGGTTTCAAAATATTACTGTGCTATAGTAAACAAGGTTTAAATTAGGTTTTTGCAGAACTTTGCTGATGTGAGGGTTTTTCATGGGATAGTAGCCCCCTGTAGGTCCGCGGGGGCTTCGGGATGATACAAGTCAGTAGAAAGAAAGGACAGGAGGAAATCCTGCTTCCTATTGGGGGAAGCGAGTGGAGATCTGACCACTTTAGCCTCAAACTGAAGGGAGGCCCAGCAGTGGTGCAGACACATACTGTATTTATGTAACAAAATGGTTGGAAAATGGGTCCTTTATCATGTGAGTGGCTGTGTCCGAAACATTCTAGTTCAAGTGTGTATTGCACACATCATGAAGTGCTTTCTGAATGATTCAATACTTCTCATTCTCCAACATCCTACATACTGTTCCTTCACTGCCTCCCACACCACGCTCCATTGCCGGTTATATAAAAGCAACACAGGACAATTGATTTAAATGAAGTATAGTCGGTTTTTAAAATGTAAACATGGATTTATTCTATCTTACACGTACTGTATGTGATTAGTGGCAGTGATGCATTTCACATACATTTTTCTTGTTTAAATCTGACTTTGTGCTGTGTTGTATACTGTATGAGTGCTGTTAGGATCGTGATGTAATTGACTGTTTTTTTTCAACAGTGCCCTCTAGCAGAACTCCACTGTTTAGAACAAGTGCTTCAGTGCTGTCTTGATGCTTGGTTGGAGGAGTAGTGTGGGAGTAGAGTATCATCAGGGCGAATCGAAATATATTTACTTTAATAACTTCACAGTGGAACAGCACAGTAAACGCAACATTTAACCAATGCTTTAGCTCCGTTACCATAACTGATTCTTGTTTTTTTGGAGAGAAAAACACTTTGTAGGTGTAACCCATATGAAATATAGGGTTACTAGACCCCTTTATGTCATTTAGATGTATGAATACATGTTGTTTCTGCACGGAGCACTCTAGAATGTACACCAAGGGTGATAAGTGGCATGAATCACTCCGCCTCTCTCTTTTTCCCTGTGAACACCCTGAAGACACAGAGACAACAGTCGAGCAACTCTTAGTATATTGTACAAAATAGCATTGAAAAAGTGGTTATTTGTACTCAAACTATGTTAGTTAACAGACAATAATTTGCCCAGAACCCCTGTGTGAATCCGAACTAGAAGACGACAGTGTCCATTTATAAGTGTGGAAACTCCGATGAGTTGAGGCTTTAGCTCCTTGTAAGCACTTTGAAGGGCTAGCCTGCTAATATGACAATGACAGTTCGTTTTGTTGTTTATTATCAGATACATTTCATAAAAAAAACAATGCTAGCTAGCGACAATAGAAACACACCTAAAAACAGGGTACTCTCCTTTAGCCACTTTAGTAGTAATATTTAGCTGTTTAACTTCAAGGAACTGCTGTGTCATGTTCCCTGCATCTTTTCCAACAAGTCAATAACAGGGATGATGACGGGAATCAGGTTCTTCCTGCCAAGAAAAAGAAAAATAATAATAAAAAGCAGTTCAGTGTGGTGACTCACCAGCTGTATGGTGGAGATGGATTTGCCCCTCTGGGATTGGCCGTTGCAGTTGAGCTCTAAGGGAAGGTCACTATGACCCTGCGGACAAAAGAAAGTCATGAGACCACCGTTTCTCGACAATCAGCTCTGCAAAAGTTCAGACTCGGCACAAACTTGCTTGTTCATGAAAAACTGTAAAACTTCCACCTCTGGATAGATAAAGAAAATCAACATCGCCTTGCCTTTCACCCCCCATGGTTTGAGTATCTGTTTTATTACTAAGATAAAAGCTGCAAAACTTACATGGCCATGAGAAGGAACCAAAAAGGAAAGGATTCTTTCAATGAGGAAAAAGCCATAAATCCCAGCAATAATTCCCAGAATCCTCCACAGATAGTCCTTCCCTTCTGCATAGTGTTCGTCTTCGTGGCTGTGAGTGTCATTATGGAGGCCAAGGATCTCCAGAGGAGACAGAGAGGAAACCATTAGACATTTACTCCTCAGTCAACAGGGTTTATATATATAAAATCTTAAGACATAAAAGTAGAATCAACAAATACATACAATTCTGGAAGAAAGTTAAGAAAATTATGAATAGTTTATATTCTTAAAAGATAAATTATCCATTCTCATACATACATAAATTACCACATCTAACGGGATGTTTTGTGTTGTATACCTCACCAATCTTTCCCATCTTACGTCAAAGGTATGAGCTGGATTTCCAATTCTCATCGTTATTTTTTCCATTCCATACATTTTATTAACAAGATCCTTCAGTTTAGAGTTTATAGGTTTCTCATATTTTAACCAATTCCTAGGTTAAAGATAATTAATGTACAGTTCTTCTTTTGGAATGTGTTTAATAGTTACTGTAGGTACATGAGGGAAAATGCCTTACTCTCAAGAGCAGTGGGAGGAGAACCTTTTCTTGTTTACTCTGCAGACTCGCAGGCATTGCCTAGCAACTGCTGAATAATGGCCGGGCACATTTGCCTGAAGTGATCCTTGGAAATTGGCAAATGAGGATCCAGAGCAAAAATATCCACCAGCTAATTTGGGGGGAAAACATACCTGATTACATTCAAAGGAAGAGAGAATTTTGTGGATGAGTAGGAGGCACTTCAAATCAAGGCTCACACTGACTGTCTGCAGATCACAGCTTGTTTTTCTGTACAGGAATCACTCTTTTTAACTAAAATAAAACATTAACCTCACCTGTGCCCAGTCTTTGCTTATTTCTCCAGTTTCATGGTTGCAGCCGCCTCTTCCTGTTGTGGGAGTGCGTCCTTGCTTCCTGTCCAACTCCCAGCTGATGCAGCAACTCCTCTAAATCTAAGACAGAAATCCCTGCGTCATGATACTGTACATGAATCCAAATAAATCAGTGTATATTTGGGACAAAATACTACTTTATGCAGATGGGATAAATAAAATATAGATCTTAAGAAAAGTTCTTAAAACAAGGCACGGCACTCAGATTTTGGGTTGAACCTCCCATTTGGTGCCAGTATATGTATTCATTAAAAGCATCGAAAAGCATCTGACACTAGCCATCTCTGAGGAAAATCTTTCAAGGCTACTTGCTCTTTCATGCATGATGCCTCATTGCTTCTTTTTATGAAAAAGACTGAATAGATTCAGTGGAAGCACAGGAAGCGCCTTCATATAAAGAATTCTGATGATCACCTGACTGATTGTATAGCTTCTTTCAGGTCCTTGTTTTGGTTGTACAGCCCCCAACTTCACTGTTTTGATGTCTCAGCACTTTAGTTGGCTGCCAAAGTGAGTTTCCTTTGGTGAAAAGTCTCTAATAAACCGACTTAACACTTCTTGCTCAGCAACAAACAGAAGACGGACACAGTTAGCTAATAGCTGATGAACATAGTGGAACATATAGCAGCTGGTAGAGAGATGGTGGAGACCAAAAACAGAGCTAAAAGCCTCAAAAGTCTCAGCAGTTTCGTATCTGGCTGCAGAAGGGAGCTATATTTGGTAAAAAGTCTCTGAATAACCAACTTTACACTTCCTGCTAAGCAACAAACACCGGACACAGTTAGCGAGTAGCTGGCGAACATAGTAGAACATTAGGAGCAGGTGGAAAGTTGGTAGAGACCAAAAACAGAGCCAAAAGAGAATTGAATATTGGACTTAAATTGCCAGGAGGTCAGAAACTTGCCTCCAAATGCTGTTATAGATCTGTATCTGCTGGTGTGTAACTGGTGGCTAACTGGTTGTAACTGTTTTGTTAATCGCTTCTTTCCGTTAAGTCAAGTTGCCGAAAAAACGGTTATTATTAATATTTTGAATAGAAGAGAATAAGTAGTTATATGTAGTCATAATCAGATAGGAATCTCCGTTAAATGTGTGTATAAAAGCCAACTGTACTCTTGAACTCATCTATAATCTGCAGGTTACTTGTTCGATTTAGGGATTGAAAGATGTAGTCTGTAAAGAAAGCCGGAGACGTGAGGTTCCAATGTCTGAAACAGTGGCCCTGCAGGACGTGGCTGATGATGGCTGCAGACAGTTTGGGGATAGAAGACCCTTCAGCATCTTCATGTACGCCAACAAGGAGGCCAGCGGCATCGATACACTGTGGAACCAAAAGGGGAAATCAACATCTGGTGATCGAGACAGATACATCTTAGATTTCAAATCCTTACTTGCAAATCAGAGTGGTCTTGATGGGATGGGTCATAGTGCTGGTTGATGAGCTGCAGAATACTTTCTGTTTCTCTGGATGATAGGAAGCGATTGTCCTCACCCAGATTGATCAAACAACAGCAATTTCCACAAACTTCCACTGATTTTTTTTAGCAGAGGAAGGCAGGAAGTGGGAAGCGAGCAATCTCTTGAACAAGAAACAGAAAGTCACCAATGATTGCTTCAAGAGAACTAAGTGTCAAGGTGGGACAATAATTCTATTTTTAATAAATCAAAAGGCAGAAGAGGAACCGGATTGATTGACTTTGTAAATTAATTTATCCAAGCAGGATTTTCTAAGGTTCAATATATTGCCTTTAACTGAGATTTTTGATCTATAAATAGCTGTGCTAAATATGTGCAAGAGCGCAGGTGACTTTCAGCGAGATTGGCTTTGAAGAAGTTTCACATCTGATCAGGAATGTTCCGGTTTCAAAATATTACTGTGCTATAGTAAACAAGGTTTAAATTAGGTTTTTGCAGCACTTTGCTGATGTGAGGGTTTTTCATGGGATAGTAGCCCCCTGTAGGTCCGCGGGGGCTTCGGGATGATACAAGTCAGTAGAAAGAAAGGACAGGAGGAAATCCTGCTTCCTATTGGGGGAAGCGAGTGGAGATCTGACCACTTTAGGCCCAGCAGTGGTGCAGACACATACCTAGGAAATACCTGTGTTCATTAAACACAAATATGTAGGAGAATCATTACTAAGTTGTATATTATAATGAACATATATAGACTGCAACCTACTAGTGACATGATGTAAAGGTTCTCAGAAAATCAAGAATTGATCATAAAAACTATTAAAATACAATATACTCTTTCCTTTTTGCAATTTGATATCAACTTATAGAGGACAAATTTGTCTCTTTAGCTGCTAAATGCACAAAAATATTTGTGGTTGTTTGATGCCGTGCAGTCAGTTAACCAACATTTATTTGTATTTTATTCTTGCTTATGAGTGGCCCATATGAAAAAAATTAGAAAGACAAAAAGGGTAATAAATCAAAAATAAATGCTATGCTGTTTTCTGAGAGGGTTAAATGTTAGGACATATAGAAGTACACAGAAATGCATCAAATTAGTCGAATACTAAGATTAAACATAAAAGGGGTCAGTACATGAAAACAATAATATTTTGGAAAGCAGAAGTGTTATCGATAATAGATGTACAATTTAATGCAAATCTCCAAGTAATAAATCTCTCTTTCGTCTTTATCATTGTATCATTATTTAGCTCTTGTCATTTTGACCAGCCATTACATTTTATTCTGAAGGGCTGTTTTGAAGTTTAATGAGCCTTCTTGTTGTCAGTGCTCTTGAGCTCTAGACCATGGGTTTACGGGAAGGCATGTGATGAGACTGTTACACAGAATAATGACAGGAAACCTGTTCTCTTGGGGAGTGATTGGGAAAAAGTGCGAAAAATGTCCAGTTAAAAAGTTTTGAATGGAGGTCAAATCATAAATCACACTACTGAAACTTAAGACATCTATTTAAATGATTTTCTTTATTAATCTTAGCAAAATATATGTATCAATGATACAAACTCACACTATGTTTTTCCGTTCTGGATATAACTTGGCAAAGAAAAACCCAATGTAAACAACATGGATTTTTTTTTTTCACATTCACTGCACTTTATCATGGTAGAAAAAAAACTATAAACTCTCAAAGGACAATACAGGTTCATTTCCAAAGTGCCATGCATGGTGAGGGGTTTAGAGGAGTAATGTTTGAACATAAGTTAAATGATACGCAACACAGTCATGTGACACACACTGTAAGGTCCTTTTTGGGAAAACATTGCACCCTATTGGCCCGTGAAAAGTACCATCATGCATTGTGACCAACCGTCTCCTCTTTGTTGCCAATTCGAACTAAAGAGTTAGTGCAACCACCTCTTCAATTCCTGATTCTGCCTGTTGCTAGTATATGTCTTTCTTGAAGTCTCAAAAGAACATCCTCTCTGTGTTGAAGACCCTCAGTTTGGTCATGAAGTTGAAATAAACAAACGCCAGGCAGACCAGCAGGTTCTTCATCAGATAGAGAATGGGCGTGACGAAGCCAAAGAAGGCGATGAGGCCGACGCGCACAAAGAAGAACGGAAAGTCCTGCAGGGCCACTCCTAGTGAGGGGAGCAGCGGGCTGTGGGGCATGACCACGACCCGCAGGCAGGACAGGTAGCTGAAGATGTAGATGGGGAACACCCAGCCTGAGTAATAGACAAGGGGATGCCCCGCCACCCTCACCATCTCCACGGTATCCATCCAGAACATAAAGCTGTCCACGAACACATCCGCACGAGCGTCGCTGGCACACAGGAATCTCAGTGGACCCGTGTATTCGTACGGAGAAATATGGTACGGTGAGGTACTTGCAGATCGTGAGCTCAATCCAGAGATGCTAAACGGTCTCCCGGGGTTACCTTGTATCCCTGGAAGGGTCCCGTTGGCTTCCGATCGGGCCCCTGGTCCGTTCTGGTTCCTGTCATTGCGCTGGCCTGATCCCGGTTGCATGGGATTTTGCCCAGCCTGCCCGGGCACAGCTGGCCCCGGCCCGGCTGGGGTGATAGGCGATACTGGGGTTACCTGTTCCACATGTGTGAGGACAGTCGAGGGGATGTCGGCATCTCTCTCCGTGTCATTAGCTGGGGAGAGAAAGTAAACATAATACAGAGAAAAGCACATTTCCTCAGTTACACCAACTTCTGGCACAGAGCCACAGAAGTTACATTTTATGGATAAATTAACATCCATTTGTTGCATCCAGGCTCCTGTAATGTAGAAAATCGGGATCTAAAGCCCTCTAAAGTGATTTGTGTGATGTGTTCAGAGAGCTTACTCACCATGGCCTGTCAGTCTGCAGTGGCGTATCCTCTCCACAACGTCAATACAGATGAGGGAGAAGAGGACTAGTGACACAGGGAGCTCCGTGAACGTATCATATGTCATGTTATTATTTATCTGAACCTAGGGAAACAGCGGGGAAATCACAGGTTGATCATATAAGAATATTTAATGTGATTACTTCTAATCAATTTAGATCCCATCTCTGCACCAATGCTTTACGTCTACATGTCTGACCTCCTCTTGGTCTGTGGGCTAAATCACTTACAGCGCTGGTATTTCCCTCAGTCAGGACTTCATGCCAACAGGACAGAGAACAAAGCAGACAAGTTGATCATCTTAGCAGAATTGATGGCCCTTGTGTAAAAGACACCAGATAAGCAAATGCCTAAAAGGTCAGCTTGGGCTCTAGAAAGGGCCACATAAAGAAAGCAAATGGGACCTGGGCTGCAGCCAGAGAGGAAGTGAAAAGGTGCCTCATGGACAGATGATATGACAGGGGCAGCTTGGACAGGAAGAGGAACCAAGCTGCTTATCAGTAGCTCCTTATCCATATTCATCCCCTGAGAGGCAAAGCGCTCCTCACAAATCATCACCATTATTCCACTCACAGATGCCCCACACCGTGATTACGCAAATGTCTGGCGAATCACAGCGGTTATTTTTTGATAATAGACACTATATTCCAAAAACAACTACTACTCCTAAAACACATGACACACTACACATCGTGCTGTACCTCAGAGCTGGCGATGAGAAAGGCAAAACAGGGTAATGTGGACAGGATCACATAAACGAGGGCCACAGGCCTCCTGATGCAAAGACAAAGGAGAGGAAAGAAGTAAGGAAGGAAGACAAAGGCAGTTGCAGGACTTGCCAACTCATGATATTAACCAGGCGAGTGCAGTCCAAACCATCAGGTCAGGTTCAGTCAGTTCTGCACTGCTCACCACAACACTGACATCAGGAGAAATGTAGAAACTCACCACTTCTTCCTCCCGATGAGAAACTTCTTCTTGACGAAGACCATGTACTTCATGGGTACCCAGACCAGCAGGGCGGTGGAGGTGACGTAGGCGATGGAGGAGGCCACGATCAGCCAGTAGGCCGTGCTGCCGTCTCGGGGCGGCTGCGCGGACGTTTTGACCTTTGCTACGATGACGGCGAACCTCTGCATGACGATGAAGAGCGGCACGCACAGGCCTGCGAACTGCAGCACCTCGCACAGGGCAAACTTGAGCGTCCTCCCCGAGCCCATGCTGTGGAGCTCAAAAAAAGAAAAAGAAGGGAGGGAGATGGGGGCTGTTGTCGCAGTGAGGCGACCCCTGTCCCTCTGAGGGCTGGTCAGGCCTCGGACCGCTGCATTGTCTGCCCACCACTAGCATGTTCCACACAGCACAGCCCTGCTCTCTGCTCACCAACTGCTTACACTGCACTAGGCTTTGTGTACCATGCTGTGATGGGGATGTGAATGCTCTTCACATACAGATGCCTATGAAATAAAAATCTCGTTTTATCAATCAACTACACAAACTAGATAACCTAAATTAATCTGAGTATCTGAAAAGCATGTAGATTTGCATTATTATACCCTTTATTCTCCAAAACCAGCAAACATAAATGGACTTGACTAACACACACAGAGCAACATCCAAAACACTTGTGACTCTTATATGTATAGATCGCCCTCTAGTGGCAAAGTGTGATAAGTGTACAACAACATATGCAAAACATGACATAACAACATATACAGCAAATTCAGGTAAATGTAAAACAATCTTGTGTCTTTATAATGACAGTGATATTAGTCTTTATTCCCTTGGCTACTGAAAAGTTTCAATAAATAATCCATCTACACACACACATTATCTCACACCGTGACATTTGGATAATAACAATAATCAGAAATGTGCTGTTTACCTACATTACTAATTAATATTATTAGGTATTCTAATTCTAATTTTTAGTATACTTTAAAATAAAGGTCTTATATTTCAATAGTTTTTTTTTTAGTATAATAAAAGTGTGGATTTTAATAAGTGTATTTCTAAAGTTGTGTTGCTTTCATTGGTCACTGTACTTCATCCATCTGTTGCTACACTGTGCAACATGATGTTTTTACTGTTGAATAATCGTTAACACTCATCAAATAAGTCTGCATACAGTCCACTACTTTGATAAGAAGGCCCACTTTGGCAACGCACAAACAAAAATGTTTAATTACATCACCGGAGTATATACACTTAGTATTACAATTTACTTCACTACTGCACATTTATGAAGCAAATATTACTATTATGAAAGGTGTAGGCAGTTGTGAATTATAACAATATGTTGTAGGGGGAAAAGCCTAGTTGCATCACCACCAGATTCAAGTTCATGAATATTTCTACACTGTGGTATTGTACTTTACTTCATACGTTTTTGTTCCTCTCACACTATAACAACAAGAGTCCCTTTCCCACCGGCAGGCCACGCACTTGTTGCAGCACTAGTCCCGCGAGAGAGGGGCGCAGGGATGGATGACCCCGCTGCTCCCCTCCCCACCAGCCCCAGCTGTCAGCTCCCTTCCTGACTTGCCCACCCTGCCCCCGGTACCATGGCGTCCAGCGAGGAGGACGGCACGGTTGAGGAGAAGGAAAACAACAACAAGAGGAGAACGAAAAGCGCCCTCGCTACAGCATGGCTCACTTTCTACAACATCGCCATGACCGCCGGGTACGTGCGTAATAATCCGCCGCCGCCTATTAATAAGAAAAGCCTAGAAGTTAGCCGCTCCCTAAAACACTGTGTTGCTGTTTATAGGACTGAGTCTCTGTGGTCGAAAGTGCCAGTTCAGCTCGCTTAATATAGCGGCTAACAGCAGCAGGGGAAACTTCAGTAAACTGTTTGATAGTTTGACAATACATAGAAATATAAGGGGGATTTGTGCGAGTGTTAGAAAATGAATGAAAGGCGTTTGGTAAAGTGACAGGCTGGGGCTGAAGCCGTGTCCAAATAGGGCTGACTGTCAGCGTCAAGGCCCACAGTGCACCGCAGTTGCAGTGATAAGTATAGCCGGCGCGCGCTGACACTGGAGCTCAGCCCTGGGACACTGAAATGCTCAATGAGCAGATTTTTGAATAACAACATAACATAACATTTGTGAGTTGCAAACAGAAAATGTTTCATCGTGTTTTTAGGGTAAACTAGCAAGGCAAAAAGATGGTACATAATATGTCTCTGCTTAGTGACCTCAGCTTTGTGTATATAACTGAGCTGTCAGATCAGTGTGTTACTTCAGTAAAAGCAGCAATACAACAGTGTAGAAGAAAAATATCTGCACAAAATGATATAGCCCATTTATATCAGGTGTACTAGAAATGTATAGGAAAGTTGAAGAATGCAGAGAAATGGCTCAGTGTCTTTTCACATGCATTAATGAAATCAGGATTTTACTGGTGTATTTGGTTGAGTTGGAGCTGATTTCAACATATTAAAAGGAGTGGATCAGCTGTATTTACATAAACTATTGGATAGCTTGATTTATAATAAAACATTACGTTTTAGTGATTCTTCAATTGTATTGGTGCAAACGAATCCTTATGTGTACAGTTGGCTTTAGTTACCATCATTATCTAACACTTGCAGCATTAATTGTTTATCATCACCATATCTTGTAGTTTTATGTCATTATTCATTATAAAGCTATATGCTTTTAGAACTTCAAGAGTCAAGAGGACATTTTTACATTTAAATCTTATAACATCACTTTACTGATGTAATCATCATACAGACATTAACTGAATACACATACTTACATAACTTACATAATCAAAACACAATGTATAGGCTATGTATCAATTACAGCACTGGCAACAGGGTCAGTTTCTTAGTCATCATATCGAAAATAAAGACACATTTTCAACAATTTCAGCTCCTGAAATGTCAGGATCTTCAAATTCATTTGAAAAAAAAGAGAAAGGAATCAAGAATATATTCAGCAAAAGCAATCATTGCGTTGCGTAAACCTTAACCCTTTAAGTTGTTAATACAATTGATCCTCTTAACAGTTCTTTGAGACATTCTTTCATGGCTATAGTCATTATGGAGCCCAGCTTCAGTTAATTGTATTGTATTTTGCGCAGAGAGGGAGACAGCATGACAATGTGTCTTTTAGAATGTTACACATGATTGCATCTTGGTAGAATTGATACATTATTTATACTAGAAATTATTTCAATAGCAGTCCCAAGAGTTGGCTCCACCAACTCATACAATTTTAGAAATATGTGTTTTCATTAACTCACGCAAGTGCTATCCTTTGAAATCTTGAGTAACTAGCAAGAGCCAAGTGTTGCTAACTCTTTTCCAACAATAAGTAGCTAGCAGCAAATTCGCGAAAAAAGTATAAAAGTTAGCAAACTGACAGCCTGTCCCATTAAACTTCACTCCAAAACCCCACCGCAAAAAAAAAAAAAGTAAACATATTATAGTAAACGTTAACAACAAACGTTGCTAATGTACGTAGACTACTCACGGCTGCCATGCATGGGGAAGACTCCGGTCCGGTGACGCGTATATGTGCACGAGCGCGTACAGGTAGACAGGTAAGGCGGCCGCGGCCGTCCAATCACTTCATTTGGGCCGAATGGCATGATGGGACGGATTTATTATGTTCTGCGTCACTGCTGAAATTGGGTCAAATGGAAACTGATTTAAATGTATTAATATGCTAATATGTCGTATTATACAATTTATTTATTTTTAAGAATTACTTCCGTGGGCTTTCTGTAATGTTTTCTACCATAGGAGATGCACATTTTCTTTTCAAATATCGTTTTTCTTTGACAAAAGTACTAAAATAAGTCAATAATCGCCATCTAGGCTATTGTCAAGGTAGGGCAATTACAAGTTATGAGCTAATATTTGCATCTCTTACTATTGTTGTATCATTTTATGATAAATTGACTGCATTGTCCATTGTTCATTCACACTACTTTGATGATGATGGTGAGACAACTAAACAATATCTTGTTTCTCCTGCTCTTTATTCTCCTATCTGAAGCAATACGATTAAGACTAAACAGTTGACAAATTTAGATAGATGTGTATGTGACATCTATGATAAGGTGCTGTACTTTATGGTTTGTGTTTCAAACATTTGCTGAAAAAATGTTTTATACACAGAGCTGAACAACATGATTTCAATTTGAACCATCATTAAAGCCACTTTACAGAATCTCTTGTATCAATCAAAACAGATCCATCAAACACTTTTTTTTTACATTATGTGTTTTTCTTTCGTTTCTTCAGGTGGCTGGTTTTGGCCATTGCAATGATGCGCTTCTACGTCCAGAAAGGCACAACCAAGGGTCTGTACAGAAGTATAGCAAGGACCCTCAAGTTTTTCCAGACCGTTGCACTAGTTGAGGTAAGCATTTGAGAGCAATAGCTACCCAGTTGTAGCATGAACTGATGAAATACTGTCTTAGAGTCAGAGAAATGGCAACGCTTTTAAAAAAAGATGATAGAGATGAATTGATTATTATGTATCTTGTCTTACAGGTGGGACATTGTGCTATTGGTATGTGAGGATTTTGTTTATGTCTTATTGGTTTAAAAATCACAATTACTTACTGACAACTACTGTAGCTTTAAACTGTTGTTTTTTGTGTCTTTTTTTGCTGCAGGAATTGTGAGGACTTCTGTAATTGTGACCGGGGTGCAAGTGTGTTCACGAATATTCATGATTTGGTTCGTCACCAACAGCATCAGACAGGTGAATATCACGCCACAACACAGAAACATCACACAACACATCTAAAAACTGCAAGAGCTGTGCTTTAGACCCCGTTTACACGAGGACGATACGGGTTGTATCTGCATAGTTTCTCTTGCGTATAGCCCTTTCGTTTACACAAGGCCGTAACAAAACGATAGAAACGGACCCCGCAAACGATAATGGGTCCCAAGGTCCGTTTCTATCGTTTTGTCACGGCCTCGTGTAAACGAAAGGGCTATACGCAAGATAAACTATGCGGATACAACCCGTATCGTCCTTGTGCAAACGGGGTCTTATTGTACTGTTATGTGTTTTGTATTTACCATAATTGCTCATTTGCACGTTATTTTAAGTTACTTTCTCCTTCCTGTGTATATTTGACGTGTTTTTCCTGACGTAAATGAAGATCCAGAGTGAAGAAAGCGTAATTCTATTCCTGGTTGTGTGGACGATGACAGAGATTACCAGATATTCCTACTACACATTCAACCTGCTCCACCACCTGCCGTACTTCATCAAATGGGCCAGGTGGAGATACCATTAGCCGGCTGCCGGGATGAGCTTGAATTGTCATTACTGTGTCAGACATTGTTGTCTAAGCATGTCTAAGCACTGATCTGGAGATTTCACCTCTGGCATGCTTCCCCTCCCTGGGCCTAAGAGCGGCTTTACATCAGGAAGTAGTGCGGCCGTGTGTGTGTATTAGGTATCGCCTGTGTGTTTATTGATTAGCACCTAATTAGGTAGCTGAACTAACTGCTAATAATTGTGCTCTGACAATCAAGGATACAGAAGAGGGTTTATTTTACAAAACAGATTTGAAAATAGAATACAAATAGATAATGGCATACATTTCTTATGTAAAAAAACGTGATTTCTTACGAGAATAGTCATCCAAAAGGTGTAAATCAAAGCCTTAACACACAACTGGTTGTCAGTATAATGCGGTGACGACCAACACATTTCTCAGCTCTAGAGTGACATAATGCCTGTCTACTACTGTATGAAGAGCACTTGTGACGTGGCAGTCTCCCTGCTACAGTAGCTCAGCTGAAATTGGAGACGCTGGCAGGAACGTCAGCTGTACACATTGATAGCTGTCCAACACACGGGCTTGGCATCTTACAGCCGAGAGAGAGGCTGTCTCACTTCATGATAGTGACGTTTACATATCACATCAACTCAAGTCCAAGGTGGGACATCTTGTCTCTGCAGTTTGAAGGTTAAACCCAAACTATGTTTTTTGTCTGCTAGTTCAGCTCGTCATGTGATCAGTCTTGAGCCAGTTACTCTTTTGTTTAGGGGTTTGAAACCTTGTGTACTTAATGCAACTCTCTTCCCTGCCCCCCACCCTTCACGGCTTTCTTTAAGCACGGAGGAGACGCCAGGCCCCGGGAGAGGGGCTCATGTTCAGCTGCTCATGTTTTTAAGACCATCTGTTTTGGTCATGGAATGTTCACCCAACATTTCTCTCACATCCGCCGAGACGCTCCCCCAAGCCTTTGCTGCGGTCCCTACTAAATACAGGACCTCTGTAGCCCTGAGTCATGGCATATATCCTACTACAGAGGCCCTGTGCTGTCACAAAGAGAGGCTGGCACACTTATGCCAAGTGACAGGAAGTAATAGCCGCAAACCAACAAGATGACAGATTGTGAATAGCTTTATGAAGAGCAGCTTTATTCAGTATCTTAGATGATTTTATGACGAATTTGGGAACATGTTTTGTCTTAGTATTCCAAGATTTGTTAACCAAGCTATCTTCCTGCCAAATAACTGATTTGATTTTTTATCACGCAATCGTCCGTATGGAAGCCAAGTAATGAAAAACATACCTCTTAACTTTGTAATCAATCACTTAGTGACAGTTTTCAGACAGCATCTGCAACCTGATCCTGCGGCTTTGCCCACTTCAAAATCTGCCAAATCACATCCCTTTTCACAGAGGAGACCCAGCAACATGTCTAGGTTTGAGTCAGTGGCCATTATCAGTGTTCCAATTAGCTCCAATAGGTAACATTACATTTAAAAAACAGCAGGCAATTAAAAAGTAGAATTAGTCGAGTTGGTTCCCTCAACTCAGAACAATTTTTTATGAGCAAACATGGACGTGATTTTGTTCTTTCTTAAATTATCATTTGCTGTTTGGCTGCCAACTTTGATAGGAACAATGTGTAGATTTATTAGGATTCTTTGGCAGAAATTGAATATTAGTTTGATTGGTTGTAATCTGCAAACTCACAACCAGAGGCCACTAAATCCACTTGTTGGAGTTGTGGGAGTTTTCCAAAAACCCACCAGTGCATTGCATCAGCTTCAAGAAAAGCACAAACTAAAGAAAAGCAACGTGACCCAATTTAGTTGTGTTTGATTACCTGTCAAAAGCAGGTTTATGATAGGAAATGATACAAGAGACAAAACATGACAATTATTGTTGGTTATGCTAACTGTGCATGTGTACAATTAAAAAGAAGATTCTATGGAGCATGCATTGACTGTTGAACTCATTTTTAAAGGTTGCATTTGTTCAAATCTAAGTGTAAATTGTGTGTGTAGAAACCTAGGCATGTGAGTGCTTTAACATCCGTAAACTGTGTGTGTTTGTTGCATTTGTGTAACTGTTTACATCCTTTCCTTCCCAGGTACAACCTCTTCATCGTGCTGTACCCCCTGGGGGTCATCGGGGAACTGATGACCATTTATGCTGCCCTGCCGTTTGTACGCAGATCTGGAATGTACTCCATGAGGCTCCCCAACAAGTATAACGTGTCCTTTGACTACTACTACTGCCTCATCATCGTCATGCTGTCCTACATCCCACGTAAGGAGACTTTCTATTTCCATGTTATGAGAATATATGAAAAGGAGGATGACCCTAGATACTGTAGATGACCTCACTTATTAAGATGTCCTCTGTTGTTTGTTTAAAAACTAGAAGTTGCAGGGAATTTCTTGGGTCACATTTGCCGTCGGGCGACCCCTGACCTATGACAAGAATCCAGGAAGTCACTGCTAGGCTAACTTTTTTCTGGCTATAGCTTTCTTTTTATTCAGCCTACTAACTTTTCGAAAGAGAACAAATAAGCACATCTCCCAAAACCAAGCCCCCGGACTCTGAGGAAAATATTTGTTGTGGCTAAACGGCGGTACTACACTTCCGTATGGGTTGCTGGGCCCGGAAACACTTTTTCCCATTGACTTACATTGGGTAAGAGTGGTCTGTAAATCGTTGGATAATTTTTTTTAAACTAAATAAACTACCCAGTATGAACATTTGTATACTGTAGCCCTTATTAAAAACATTCGGTCCTCAAGTTGTTAAATGTGCTAATAACGTTATTCTGTGAGTTATTTTCCTCTGCATTAACGCGCATCTGAGAGTGGGAGCTCGGGGGCGGGGCTTAAGGGGCAACTCAACTGCGCATGCTCTATGAGCGCACATACGGGTACTTCTGCTCTGACAGCCAGGCATGACGGGTAATCTGTGACGTTTCGCTCTCTCAAAAGTTGGGCCATTTTGTCCTCATGCGCCAATGAGCAGCTCTCATAGGAAAGAACGAGACCCCGCCACCCACGCTGTATCCAGTTCTTATTATACATCCATGCCCAAAACCTGAAACTGACAGGCAGCCATTTTGTTTTACATTTTGTATTGATGCAATAGGCGCTTTCACACCGGAGTACTTTTCCCAGTATAGTTCCGGTATAGTTCGGAAAAGTTGCGTTCACACCAAAAAAATCCGGAACTAGAACTTAGTTCATGAGAACCTTTTCACCCCCTTTTCAGTCCCTGCTAGAGAGCAGCTACTTTCATGGGAGAAAAAAGTTCCCATTTCTGATTGGCTGGGCGGATTGCAAACCACGCCCCGTAAAACTCCCAAAAGGTTTTTTGAAGCCGCCATTTTATTTTCCTCGCATTAGCATTATTAAACCCAGCGCACAAACGGAGAGAGACTAACTTATGGCAACACAAAAGAAAACATGGGAGCGGTGGAGATGAGGTGTCGGCGTTTCTGGCGATTTACTCGGAAGGCTTCAGAAGCCAGTCCCCAACTCCGGGGACTTCGGGTGGCAGTATACGCCGTGAAGTTGTTTGCGGCCTGCCAGTAAACCCAAAGCAGAAGAAGAAGAAGTGACGTCAGCGGCTTCATAATTTCAAGCCACCAGGAAGTGCGCCGGACACTGTGCCCAACATTTGTTGTGTCCAAACGGCGGTACTGCAACTTCCGTATCAGTCCGTGACGTCACCCCGGCCCAAAACAACTTTTTCCCATTGACTAACATGGGGAAAGAGATGTCTGTAAATCAGCGGATCATTTTTACTGGTAAATAAACTACCCAGTATGAACTATTGTATAGCCCTTATTATAATCGTTAAGTCCTTAAAGTTGTAAAATGCACTAAAAGCCGAATCTAGATTTATTTTCTCTCTCCATTCATTCTAGTGAGCCGAGAGTGGGAGCTCGGGGGGCGGGGCTTAAGGGGCAACTCAACTGCGCATGCTCTAGCCAGGCGTGACGGGTAATCTGTGACGTTTCGCTCTCTCAAAAGTTGGGCCATTTTGCCTTCATGCGCCAATGAGCAGCTCTCATAGGAAAGAACGATGTTTTCACTACTCAGTTTGTCAACTATGTTTCGGACAAACTTGATGTCATTACAATCATTTGATTAACAGGTTAACATCACATTTGAACATATAATTTAATTAAAATCATTAAACAATTGTAAACCATAACAATGTACGTAACATTGTTGATGGTCAATTAATATACTCATGTGCACATATACATATAATATTGTAAAAAGTTAGAGGACAATCACCACAGTGTGTTCAAAATGTCTGCCAAAGAGGAACATGGGCTGAAGTCGAATAGTCCATTTAGCTTAGGAACCTTCCTAACGGAGTGAAATTACCCGGAAGTCCCTCAGTGGCAGCCATGATAAGTGCCGTTCGAATTCTCTAGATGATAGGAAAGGAGGTTTCAAACTTCCTTTATAACCTCCTTTAGCTTAGGAACCACTGGACCTCCCTAACCGAAAGGAGAGGAGAAAATTGGCCGTTCACGGAAACAACCGATTATGACCGAGAAATGATATCATGAAAGTTACGGTGCTTATTAAGCATTTTAAAACGTATGTGGTAAGTTGCCAAAGTGCTTTGTTTTGAACGTTCATCAGTATTATAATCAAAAAGAGAAATATGAACGTTAGTTTTTACTGAAATTATCAAATAAAGTCAACATTTCACAGTCTTTACAGAGCTGTGTGGGGGTTGTTCAACTTTTAAAAGATGTTTGAATAATAGTTGTTATTTACTTTAATGGTTTTTATTCATTATTTTGAAACCAAGACACCCTTAACTGAAAAACGGACATAGCAAAAACTGTCAATTTAAGAACATCTTGACACATTTCAAGCTAAATGAAGCATAGGATGCACATAATGTTTGTGTGATATTATAACATGCTTTCCAATAATAGGCAAAATATGATATTTTTGAAGAAAATAGTTAGAATAAATATAATTATCATCAATGGACATGGAATGTACCCTAAATTGTAGAATGAGTCAATTACATTCAATCAAGGACAACACCAATGCAAGACATATAACTTTTTTAAAGTTGATAATGAACGAGTTTTCGAAATGCATACATTTTGCAGATCAAATATACAATATTCAGTTTTACATGACTTATAAAGGTTTCTTGCTCTCCTGCTTTTTTATTTAAAATGTGGATGTAGTGAGCTTTGAGACAGCTGACTACCTTTGCCTATAGCATAAAGAACAGTTAACAGAACATTTTCATTGTCCCCACAGTGTTCCCTCAGCTCTTCTTCCACATGCTGCGGCAGAGGAGAAGGGTGCTTCACGGGGAGGTCATAGTGGAGAAAGACGACTAGACAAGCCACCACCTCACGCCTTCGTTTGAGCCAGCCTGCCTCCACCATCACCCCTCACCTCCCCCACTTCATCTTTAGCCCCATCGGCCGTTACATTCTCCACCGCACGGGACCGGAAGAGCCGCACGGACGACGAAGAAAGGAGTTCACCAGTACTGAGCAACAATAACTGATCCTAAGTCTTTACAGGATTAATTCCTATCTGAATGGTAATATTGGAAACATGTTTACAGTCCCAGTGTTTTCTTGAGACTCAGCACAGAGTCCTTTACTGCACCTTGTTGCACTGAAACACGAGTCACAACACCTCCCGAAGGAGAAAAAGAGGAAAGAGAGGCTTCCAGGGAAATGTGAATTGAAACATGTGAGGAAGATTGTAAGTTGTGTCTCCCGAGTTGTCCAAACATCAACCCCAAAAGCAACCCAATTGGCAGTTCCATTATTTTTTTAAGTGTATTCCACTACCGAGATTTTGTACAAAGCAAAGATAAAAAAAGAGGAAATAATTCTATCATACCTCAACAATAAATCTACATTTAGACAATATGCTGCTTCTTTGTGAATGTTGTAAATGATGCAATGTGAAATGAGCGGTTAATAGTAAACATATTTCTTAAATTATTCACATACTGTATCACTTAGAGCAAGCACAGCTCAAACTTAACATTTTGTCAGCTTGGCTCCTGCATTCTTCTGTGTTGCTTTGATGTTTACTATGTCAAATTCATTTACAAGAGTGCATCTTAAACACATTTGAAGTCTTCAAAAAGTAGTTTTCTATAGACAGCTGTAGGTGAGAGTACAATTCAGATTTTTGTGAGCACTTTCAGTCTTCAGTCGCTGTTGTGTTTGTTTTTTAACATAAGGAATCCAATGTCCGTGTTGATAAAGGTAGTTAGTTCCCTCCTATTTAAGGTGCTATTGTAACATCATTTCAATCTTCTGTGCAGCTTAAGGAGTGACTGTGATTGGAGTTGACCTAAAGCAGGAAAACAGGATGTGAAATGATTGAGAGGAAATGTTGCATAGCCCAAGGTTATCTACGAAAATCGACTTTTCTGCTTATAATCTGGGTTAGGGAGGAGAGGAACAATAAAAGTCAATGTCACAAAAATCACTGGGAAAGTTATTTTTCAAACAATAGAAATGTGAAAATACCTTCTTTTGTGCAAAATGAATAAACAAAGTTCTACAATACTGTGGAGAGTTTTGTGATGACCTTCACACTTATGCAGACAGATAAGCCATCTGACACCAGATCAGTTTACCTGGATCTGCATAAAAATGTAGAAAAAAAGCCAACAAATACAAACACCTTGTGGGTTTTTACATATTTATTTGAGTGTTTCCTTCATTTTTCGTAGTGTTGTTAAACTCAAGTGTTTTTCTTCACGGGAAACTACCTGAGTGCATAAAATGGCACATTTTATATTTGTAGGTAGGATCCACAGATTCATATTCATTAGCATATGTACGTCTGTAATAGTGAAAAATAAATCTCATAACCACAAAATACTGTATCATATTAAACTGTAAATGTGCAGTCTTGAACTAAAACAAGCTGATTTTGACATATTTCTGTATTAATGTGTAAATGCTTACTTTGATTCTACTCATATAAAGGAAAATGCTATATAGACATTCATGAGGGGAGATAAACGGTTCCTCAAAGATAGCATATCAGCGACATTTCATGTTTTTTGCACATCATTTTGCACCTTTTCATTTTAAGACTATTACAGTACATGTTATGAAAAGTACTACGATAAGTCCACTTGGCTTCATAGAATGAATAACTTCCTACAAAACTTGCATAATGAAATATACATTCAGATATTCACGTAGAATACAGTTTTATAAAATGTATTTAAAATAACCATAAAAATATTTATATATATAAATCAGTTGGTGATTTGGTACTTTAAAAAATAAAAGTCCTCCTTCTGTGATTGCCCTGCTGTATTGCACTTGCTGGTAATGTTGGACTGTGTTCACTTTGGAGGAGAAAGGCATCTCTTCCCCATGAAAGAGACGTTCTCTACTGCAGCGCTGGGCTTATTTCAAAATTGTCCCTTTTCTCTCTCCGTACGGACTCTCCATGTATTGTGCTGGTGGACCAGTGCCACATGGGGGAAGTCTAGCTGCTCACTGCAAGCTCCCTTCCAAGAAATCGCTACGATTCAGGCAAACTCGCTGCAAAAAAAGATCAAGACAGATATTAGGACAGCTCGACTTTTGGACATTTGGAAAGGAAAAGAAGAGAAAAACTGACGTACTGGTATCCATTTCCTTCTCACAGATGTAGCTTATGAGATCTTCACAGAAGAAATCATTCCACAGCCCTTCATGGATGAGCCCTGCGCAGTCTTCTCCCATTTCATGCCCGTGGCCCCAGTCATCAGGCTGACCGGGCTTCCACCTCCTGCAGGCAAACAAGAGGGGGCGATCAAACATTAGACACACAGGGTTTTTTCTAAGGGAATGGTGGAAAACTACAGCGGTGAGAGAGAGACAAACTGCAGCAGGAATTGAAGTTGAATCATCTGATTTGTTTGAGGTTAATGAAGCTTCTATCCAAAGGTGCATATGTTATATAATACTGGTTTGATACATTCCATAATGGTGTCTATATCCTTTTTTTGCAGTTGCAGAGAATGTTTTTCCTTTCGTTGCAAGAGAGTGAACTGGTCTGATCTGACCACCCTGACAAATAAAAGTTTATTGAATGTGAGAGTATTTGTTTTGTTTAACTGGGCAACAGGAATATAGCAGTGGAGCTTTGCATTTCAAAGCAATCAAAAAACATCAGAAAGTTCAAGACTTTGCATGTTTTTATAGTGTTGTTTCATGTAAGTGAAAACCTACGGCTTGTTATTATTATTGGAAAGCAGCTCTGAAACAGAATACCCATCTGAGGAACAACACCTAATTTAACCTGTTAAGCCCTGAGCCTGTTTTCCAGGTCTCAGGCTCGAAAATGACATTCCTAGAACAAATGACTATAACTTCACTTATAAAAGGGGTAAATTAATAATCTTTTTTCTCAAAGCAATGATAAACCTGTGAGTTGGATTGAGAACAGTCAGAATCAATATAGATTCTTTTTATTTTAAAGTAAATTCAGGTTGAACATAGTAAAAAAACGTAAATTATAGTGTCCGTCCAAAAAAAACAACATTACTTATAGTGAAAACCACCCTTGAATGATGGGATAATAGACTACAAGCTTTAGGAATCCAAACTATAACATATAATAAGTACCCTTTATCAAGATTGATGCAAAACAATTGACATTTTACCTTTTTAGAGAGATTTAGAAGAAAAAAAAACACTTCTGGGGTCATTTGGGTGGATTTTCCATATCTCCGGCCCCACTTGGTCGATTTTGATGATTGACATCTCTTTTTAACCGTTAGAGCCAATAGAATAGAGGGGAAGTTCCTAAATCCACCTATACGTTACCAAATAAGGAGTGAGAGTAATGCGTAGCCAGAATACCCAAAACAGGAAGCTGTCATACACTCTGGTAGCTATCATAGCAGCTAATATGAAAACTCTGTTTTTGACATAAAAATGGAATGATGGATTATCAGTAATCATTTCAAAGTGACAGACACATTGGATTAACCTTCAGCCGCGTCTTTCTCGTTGTAATGCCATTGAACACAACTTTTGATCAGAAACAGCAAAAGGTAAGACAAATTTCCCGATTTTGCTTCATAAAGCTACGTCGTGTGTTGTCTGGGTTTGTTTCCCATGTCGCGAGTTCTGACGCTTTTTGTGAGACTTGTGTTTTGTTTCGGTAAAAATGGTTCGTATCGTCAGTTAGCTGAGTTTCTTCCCGTTAAGTGAGTATGACACATTCCTAGTTTATTAAATGTTAAGAAGCCCTGAGACACAGTTTCGTGAAAAAAAAGCTGGCGAGGGCTATGGGGCTTAACACAGGATAAAAGGTTCCCTATGGTGGTATTTCCTGATTTCATACTGACGTGAAAGCAGGTTCAGTCCCGTCCAGCCAGCGCCAAACGGTCTCCTCCTCCCTGTCCGTCAGACCCATCCAGAAGTAGCCTTTTCCAAAGGTCTGCTTCTTCAGCCATTTCTGAGATCACACGAGGACATCAAGACTGAGATATAACCTCACATATTACAGAACAAGGACAACATTTGATTCCAGTGCATAATGATTTTAGCTGATTTCATTCTTAAAGTGCTAAAGAGAGAATCATGATTAATCACCTGTTCCTCCACATCGTTGATGATCAACAATGAAGCAGAAGATGATTGACAGGTCGCCTTTGCATCGTCGAAACTGTGCAGGTCTTTGGAAAAGAAGTAGCACTTGCCTCTGTAGTGTGCCCACTCAGAAGGGCATCCTGTAAAACATAAAGTCACAAACAACCATATTATTATCAACAAGGTTAGATCAAATTGGTATACCTCCAACATTTTGATTATTAAATAGTTGAGATGTTGGGAAATTATAGGAAACATTGAAGCTTATAAGATGTAAAGTTTTACCTGGGGCCCAAAGAGTAGGAGCTACTGCCTCATCCTGCAGAGACACAGGGCCCATAGGAATTGATGGAGCCCGGATTGGGACCCCTTGTTGTCCCGGTTGTCCTGGGGGTCCCGGAGGCCCCACTGGCCCAAGCAGTCCCCTTGGACCCGGCTCACCAGCTGACCCCATTGCCCCTCTGATACCCGGGGGGCCCTGTGCCCCCTGAGGACCAGGCTGTCCGTCTCTTCCAGGCAGACCGTTAGCACCCGGCTCTCCTTTAGTCCCAGGAGGTCCGGCCCTGCCTCCTGACCCTCGGGAGCCCTTTGACCCGGGATTGCCGGGTACGCCTGGCATGCCTTTTAACCCTGGTAGACCTGGTGATCCTGGGATACCCTGCTCTCCTCTGGGTCCTCGTATCCCCGGACCACCCTTTTCACCTTTTTCTCCCTTCTGGCCAGGCTGACCAGCTGATCCCTGGGGTCCTTTGTCCCCTCTCGAACCTCTGGGACCAGGAGGGCCTGCAAATAAGATTCACGATTTAAAATGTTTTCCAAAAAAGAAGGGTAGTGTCACATTTTGCAATGAGCGCTTACTTATGTTTTGCTAGGATTTAGATTAATACTATGGCTGCAGTTTATTTTACATATAGTCTTAACACATTGGATTTAGTCCAGATTAAACCAACATCATATACCAAGTTAATGAATGAATTTTGCCGGAAATGCTAGTAGCTGGATTTTATTACATATAGACATAGCCATGCTAGCTGTTTTCCCATTTCCAGTGATTGCTATAATCTAAGATAACCAGCTGCTGCCTGTAGCTTTATTTTTATTGTAAAACATTAGAGTGAATTTGATTTTCCTCATCAAATTCCTTGCAAGAATGCTAATAAGGTCCCAAAATATCAAGTTCTTTGACTTTCAAAATAACTATTTAATTAGTACAACACCTTCCTTACCCTTTAAAATGGTGAAGTTGGTTATTAGCTGTGAGTGCTTGTTGTCAACCAGCTTCATCTCCTCCATGACAATAGAGAGGTTGGTGACCTCCTTGTCCATACGCGCTCCCAGCTCTTCCTGCTGAGACCTCAGACTGGACGCATCTGTCCTCACGTCCGCCACGCTGTTGTTGAGGTTCACCAAGAAGTCCGAGTGGCGGCCGACGGTCTCGGAACAAGTGCGCAGGTCGTTCAGGTTGAGGTTGATGGCGCCCAGGAGCTGCGTGGTGAAGCTGATGTTGCCGGTCACACGGTCCATACTCTGCTCGGACTCATCCAGCCGCACTTCCAGCCGGTCAAACTTGGTGGATGTAAAGTTACTGAAGTCCCTCTGCCGGTCCAACACCTCCCTGAGGGTCTGGTCGTGGACATCAGCCAGGCTGCTGGTGTTCTGGATCTGGTTGGCCACCGAAGCCAGCTGTGATCCCACCTCCTCCAGGCTGTCGTTGTTGGCTTTTGCAAGAGTTGAGGTGTTGCTGGCCATGACCTGGAGGTTTTCCACCTTACCACGGAGCCACTCAGTGTCCGAACGCGTCTGTCTGGCCGTTTGCTCCAGGCTCTGAAAGTCATTACGCATTTTCTGTATGGCCTGGGTAGTGTCTTCCACTGAGCGTTGCAGTACAGCGATGAGGTC